TATTTTTAGTTTAATTTTTATTATATTTGGCTTTGGCCTTTTCCTTTTCAAAAAGAATTTTCCTTTTTTTCAAAACTTATTTTTTATTCGTTTTCTAAGTCGTCAGTTTTTCGCACGCGCTCATCCAGCCCAAAACAGTACCTGGATCTCCGATAGTTTTCCTCAGACTGAGCAGCCAGCCGCTCGCTTATCATTTGGGGCCGGTGAAAAAAAACGCGAGCATATTTTAACGGCTGCTGGGGATGCTGCGGCGGCAGATCACCACCCTCCCTTGCGTAAACTTTCTTCTGGCCGGTGCTTCGGCCGCCGCTTTCTTCGTTCATTTCACTTTTCTTCTTGGGTTCCTGCTGTGTGTCTGCTTTTTTTGGTGGGGGCACAGTGATTGGAAAATAGAAGAAATTTTAATTTGGGCCTTAAAAATATTCTTTACAAAATTCAAGCCTTGAAAAAAAATTCTTTAAAAATCCAAGCCTCAAGAAAATATTCTTTAAAAATCCAAGCCTTAAAAAAAATATTCTTTTAAAAAATCCAGGCCTTGAAAAAATATTATTTTAAAAAATCAACGCCTTGAAAAAATATTCTTTTAAAAAATCCAGGCCTTAAAAAAATATTCTTTTAAAAAACAGGCCTTGAAAAATATTCTTTAAAAAACCCACGCCCTGAAAAAATATTCTTTAAAAAATCCACGCCTTGAAAAAATATTCTTTAAAAAATCCACGCCTTGAAAAAAGTATTCTTTAAAAAATCCAGGCCTTGGAAAAATATTCTTTAAAAAATCCAGGCCTTGTGAAGGTCTTTAAAAAATCCACGCCTTGAAAAAATATTCTTTAAAAAATCCAGGCCTTGAAAAAATATTCTTTAAAAAATCCAGGCCTTGGAAAAATATTCTTTAAAAAATCCAGGCCTTGTGAAGGTCTTTAAAAAATCCACGCCTTGAAAAAATATTCTTTAAAAAAAGTCACGCCTTGAAAAAATATTCTTTAAAAAATCCAGGCCTTGGAAAAATATTCTTTAAAAAATCCAGGCCTTGTGAAGGTCTTTAAAAAATCCACGCCTTGAAAAAATATTCTTTAAAAAATCCAGGCCTTGAAAAAATATTCTTTAAAAAAAGTCACGCCTTGAAAAAATATTCTTTAAAAAATCCAGGCCTTGTGAAGGTCTTTAAAAAATCCACGCCTTGAAAAAATATTCTTTAAAAAAAGTCACGCCTTGAAAAAATATTCTTTAAAAAATTAACGCATTGAATACTTATTTAGCTGGCTTGTGACAGAACTTTCTAAGCCGAGCTTTCAAGGCGCGTCGGTCTTTTGCGCAGTGTTTTCAATTTGAAAGACCATTTTCGACGATGTTGTTATCGACTTCAAGGCGCGTCGGTCATTTGCGCAGTGTTTCCAATTTGAAAGACCATTTTCGGCGATGTTGTCATCGACTTGATATTTCCATCGTATTTTTGGACTTCCGCTTCTGCGTGAACCATCAGCTGGTTCGCTTTTATATGCCTTCTGGGCTGGGACATCTTCATCCATTCTCACAACATGACCTAGCCAACGTAGTCGCTGCAGCACAATAGTCTAACAATGCCAATGTCCGAGAATAGCTGGTATAACTCATGGTTCATTCGACGGCGATATTCACCGTCAACGCAGATCGCAGGCCCATAGATCTTTCGTAGAAGTTTTCTATCAATCACCCTAATCACTCTGCTTGCGTAAGTACCCATGCTTCAGATCCATATAACAGCACGGATAGTATCAGCGTCTTGTAAAGTGTGAGTTTGGTCTGGCGGGAGATGGCCTTGCTTTTGGGTTGTATTGCTCAGAGCATACTAGCATCTGTTGGTCATCACTATCCATCTCCGAATTTCAAAACTGATGTCATTCGTTTTATTTATGGCGGTACCAAGGTAAATAAAATCTATCACAACCTCTAAGCTGTAGTTCTCAAGTTCCACAGTTGGTCCGAGTCTACTGGACGTCTTGCGCGTTGATAACATCAGCTTGGTTTTCTCGTCGTTTATTGCCAGACCCACTTTGGCAGACTCCTTTTCAATTTGTTCAAAGGTAGCTGTTACCGCTCGCAATGTTCGACCCATTATATCGATGTCATCGGCGTAGGCAAGTAACATGTGTTGTTTGATGTACAGAGTGCCATTTCTGTTCACTTGTGCCTCTCGTATGACCTTTTCCAGCGGGTTGTTAAAAAGGTCACACGACAAACCATCACCTTATCTGAATCCTCATTCGGCATTGAAGGGATCCGATAGGTCCTTTCCGATTTTAACTGCTGACCTTGTGCCACTTAAAGTTATCCTGCATAGCCGTATTAATTTTGCAGGAATGCCGAACGTAGACATGGTATTTAACACCTCTGAAGGGATAGGGCTGTCGAATGCGGCTTTATAGTCAACGAATAGGTGATATGTGTCGATGTGTTTTTCGTGGGTCTTTTCCAGGATTTGGTCGCAGAGTGAAAATCTGGTCAATGGTAGATTTGCCAGGTCTGAATCCGCATTGGTATGGTCCAATAATGTCATTTACCATTGGCTTCAGTCGTTCACACATCTTTTTCTTCTATCGGAGTATGGGCGCAAATAAGACTGATGTAGAAGAACTTCGCTTTTATACGGATTATAGCAATTCGCTCATCTAATGGAGTGAATCTAGAGACGAGGTCTTTGATTTTACTGTTAACCATAAATCCGCACCATACTCATGTCTAGTTTCATGGCAGCTTTGATACGGGGCGTAAGTAAATCAGATGATTACGCCCTGTATTAAAGCTGCCATGAAACGAGACTTGAGTTTGGTTTTCCATCGCCTTTCCTGTAAGGCAATGATATCGGCTTTGTATTTCTCGAGTACATCCACCAGAGCGAAAACTGCGCCTGTTCTGTACAACGTGCGCACATTCCAAGTGCAGATTCGCAGATCGTGGTCCTTTATACGTTTGCGGGGGTCGTCAACATTAGGGGGGCTTTCTTTTTCTTTGCCTTTTCATAGTAGGAGGGATTTTCCGAATGTGGGCAACTAACCCGACACCTCAATATTAGGCCTTAAAAATTATTTAAAAAATCCACGACTTTTTCAATCCTTGAAAAAATTAGGCCTTAAAATTATTTAAAAAATCCACGCCTTTTTTAAACCTTGAAAAAATTAGGCCTTAAAAAATTATCTTTAAAAAATCCACGCCTTTTTTAAACCTTGAAAAAAATTAGGCCTTACAAAATTATTTAAAAAATCCACGTCTTTGGTAGGCCTTAAAAAATCAGTCTTTGGCAGGCCTTAAAAAATATATTTTTATTTACTACTTAAAAAAATCTCTTTTTTAATCCATATTTATTTTTTAAAAATCCATTTTAGCTCTTGAAAAAATATATTTTTTTAATCCTTGCCTTTTATGGGTTTTGAAAAATCATTTTTTAATCCAATTTTTTTATTGTCTGTAACACTGTGCTGCCTGTCCATCTAAACAACAACAATGTTGTTGTTGTTGCCTTTGTTTTGGTTATAATTTTCTCTAGGAATCTAAAATAGAATTTGTATGTTAGGTTCACTTCTTGATCGACGATGGCGACGACGACACCGCCACCACCATCATCATCGTCACTCCTGATGTTTGGACCAGCAAGTGTGTGTGCGCGCCGAACGAATTGCGTCTCTTCTGGCTGTCTTAAAAATATTCGAAAAATTGTTATAAACAGCCGCATTTGTTTCTGTCGTCGGCTGACAGACGATGCATGCATATATACACACACGTACGTACGAATATATAATTATCTGCGCCCTCTTGCATTTATCTAGCCCATTTTTATTTTGTATTTTTTGGTGGGCCGAATGACAGACAGACACGCAGCAATGCGTGCATCTTGCTTGTATGCAGGCCGGCAGGCAGACAGACACATGTCTGTTTCATTTGCTTGCTCGGTGTTCTCTCTAGAGTGGGTATTTTGCTTATTTCCGGGATTTATGAACTGGTCGAACATTTTGTTGTGGCAAAACAAAAAAATACGAAAACGAAAATATATCGAATTTGCCGGCAATGAATATTTCTGAGAATGAAAAATTGCACACGCACACACTCACTCAGAAATTACATTCATTCAATTCAAAATTAGATGCAAAACAAAAAAATAAATATATCGAAAAGATAAATGTGTGACATGAAATCAAAAATTCTGTTCAGGAGGATCGGGCGTAAATTGCATGCAGGAGAAAACGAAATAAAAAAGGCGTGACGTTTGAAAAACATGTCTGAAATTCACATAATTTTGAAATCTGGGAGGTTATATTGGGTATAAATTTTAACATTTGGATCAATGTTGATAAATTTTGATCTGGAGAGGTCATATTCAAAATTTTTAATTAATTAGGTTTGGGCCGCATAGAAACCACTTAAGGGGTTCCCGCATTTTATGTTTCATTTTTCCACTGACCCCAAATAAACATTCAATTTGTTTTTTAAATTGCATTGATGATTGAAATACAGATGGGGAGAGAGATTTTCATTGTTTCGATTTTTTTTTATTTTGTAAACAATCTCTAGTTTGTTTTTTTTTTCATTATTTTTAAATTAACTTTAATTTAAGGAAATAAAGAAGAAGTTGAAATAACTAATAAAAATATACATACACACATATACACATTATTAATAAATATACTATTAAGTATAACCTCTTCAAAGTTCCGTGTTTCTTCTTAGGGTTTTTTTATTGATTAGCTATAGTCATTATCCATATCCTTTAATATTAAAAAATAAAAATTAAGCGTAACCTCGAGTGGAATTTAAATACAATATCCCTCATCTACCAAGTGTAACTTCTCGAATGTAATCAATACAAAATAAAAAATGTAACTAGTCTTTTTGAATTCCGGATATTTTTTTGTTTTTCTTTTAGTTTCATTTCATTTGTTCTTAATTACGAATGTTAGTTTTGACCGTGATGATGGTGTGGCTAGGCGGTCGGCTGTTTGTTCAAAAGGCACCGGATTGGCGGTTTCTCCTTAAACCGAATAAAAGTGTGAATTGAATCTTGGCCTTCCCGTAGGTTTTGTAAACGGCGAAAACCATGCCAACGAAAAACGACCAAAAACCGATTGTATACTTTTTAGTCGGGACTTTTTTGCCCAGCGGGCCTCCTCTTTTTTTAATTGTTCGATACCCTGCAAGAACAGAAAAGATATTAATTTTTCGTTTGTAGTTATTGGGGTTTATTAACTTACCGTCTGATCATTGAGTATGGCCGTCAGTTGTGTTGCCAACATTATAATGGTGAATATGGCAAACATTAATGCCTCAAACGTTAGGAATAGTAAAAGGAATATTGTAGCTGGCGGTGAGTACGGTGAACACTGGCGCCATTCATTGCGCACACATTCGGCAAAGGAGGTTAAGACCAGAAATATTGCATGTACCGATATTGAGGCGATGTAGAACTGGAAAGGAAAAATACTAATAGAGATTAGAAGTTGATAAAATTTATAGAAAATGGAAGTGTGGAAAAAATTGATAAAACTGGAAGTGGGTGGAATTGAAAGATATGGAAGATACATCTAAAAATTGTATACTAAGGATAGATTTATTATTTTATTCAAAAGAAAACATTTGCTCCTAAAAAATTCTAAGGAAATTGGGCACAGCTCATTTATTTGGTCCAAGGACGAACCCTTTGAAATTGAGAAAAATCGGTTCAGATTTAGCTCCCATATATATTTTCGTCGATTTAAGGTAAATGGTGCACCAAAGTGCCTATATATCTTTCGATTTGCACGAAATTTGGCACAGCGTACTGAATTAAGTCCAGAATGATGTGTGTTAAATTTCGTGCAAATCGGTTTAGATTTAGATATAGCTCCCACATATATTTTCGTCCGATTTGAGGTAAATAGTGTACTAAAGACCCTATATATCTTTCGATTTGTACAAAATTTGGCACAGTGTACTGAAATTAGGGTTGAATGGTGTTTGCCAAGTTTCGTGAAATTCGGTTCAAAGTTAGATATAGCTCCCATATATTTTCGTCCGATTTAAGGTAAATGGTGCACCAAAGTACCTATATATCACTCGATTTGCACGAAATTTGACACAGGGTACTGAAATGAGTCTTGAATGATGTGTGCTTAGTTTCGAATTGGATGTAATTAGGTATTTTAGGTCTCATTGGTTAACAAACCTTCCTACCAAAAATTGAAAATCGATTCAAGATGGATGTAATTAGGTACTTCTAACAAATTCTTGCCAAAAACTATCAGCTCCCATATATATTTCTGCCCGATTTTTGGCACGATTTACAATCGAATTGGCTGTAATTTTAAATTTTAGGATCTCATTGGTTAACAAACCTTCGAAGCTAAAATTATTAATATTGTTCCACCCTTTAGGATAGCCCCCATATAAGGGTACCTCCCAAATTTCGGGATTTTAGGAATTTCGGACATGATTTCCAATTGAATTGGCTGTAATTTGTTTATTTGGGGTCTCATTGGGTAACAAATCTCCTTGCCAAAAGCTATCAATATTGGTCCAAGTTTCGTGGTAACCTCCACATAACGCTAACCTAAAATTTCGGAATTTTTGGCACGTTTTACAACCGAATTGGCTGTAATTTCATCTCCATAATAAAAACTATGAATATCACTTGAAGTTTCAGGGTAGCTCCCTTCCCATACATTCCAAATTTCGGTATTTTGGGGAATTTGGTGACATATCCATATACCGCGATACCATCCAATTTTAAAGATTTTGGAAAAGTTTTTCAATCGAATAGCCTGTAATTTGATATTTTGGATTATCATTGGGTAACAAATCTCCTGACCAAAACTAAGGTATAGCACCCCACAGAAAGTAACCGTCATTTTTAGATATTTTTGACACATTTTCCAACCGAATCGGCTGTATATTTATATTTTGGGATTTTCATTGGATAGAAAAGAAAAACAATATCGGTCCATATTTTGTTATAGCCCTTCATATAATGTCAACTTCAATTATTCGGGATTTTAGGCAATTTTTCATTCAAATTGATTGTAATTTTATATTTATGGTTCTCATATGCTATTTTCTATAGTGTATAGACCTTAATCTGTCAATTTTTAGGTATAGTCCCAAATAAAGATGCAGCACCTATAGGTATTTTCATGGTCCTAGGTGCATATTCTAAACAAAGTCTCTGTAATTTGGTTTTCCGAACCTTCGTAGGGAAAAAAATTCTTCACAGAACTTTTTCAATATAAGTCCATGTCTCTGCAAAGCCCCCATGCTAAGCTTACGTGTCATTTTTTGTAGGCTACAGGTCCTAATTCAATTTTTTAACCTGAGTATCTGCTTTTTGATATTTTATTTTTTGGCCTGCACCAATTTTCCAGACTTCATATAAAAGTCTCAATTGATTTTTATATTTTGAATGTCTATAAATAAAAAAATTCAGTTAGGTTTCCTATAAGATTACCAGTTGATATTACATGAGAATATTTTTATATGAAGACAGCTTGGTTTAATATGAAGCCTGCTGATCTGGAATATGATTTTTTTTAATTTTATAAGAAGTTATCTTGATCCATTATGAAGAAGACCTGTAGCCTTCTATGATTTATATTTTTTTTCTTATCTGAAAATTCCGTTTGGAATTTAAATTTGAAGACGTATTGATCTTCGATGACAAGTCTATCTTTGTATCTTATATGCAGACTCATTGATGGCCTCGATAGCAACACCTTTGACTATCTCTATATAGGATTTCTGTAAAACAAATCAATTAAACCGTTAAATTCTGATATTTTTACAGTATTATTCCGTATTCGAAAATAACCTACATTAACTGTTTGTGCCTTGCTTCTTGATAGTGCGGTCAAAGTCTTGTCGTTTGGAATCGATTACAACAATAACAACAAATAGTTTCCTTATCTCTATCATTGACAACAGAACATGACTAACTACATTCGAATTATCAGAAGTGGTTTTGAAAACTAACTTTGTTTTTAGGAAGTAATTTCCCACAAAACAATATATTTATATTCCGCATTCCGCCTCAAGACAACTGTTGATACTAAGCAACATTTTCATTTTTTGTTTCCATTTCTTTTCGCACTTTAAGGGATGTTTACCCTAGTCATAATATGTGACTAAACGACGAATATGATGATGACGATGATGTCACATTCCCCTTCCCATTCCACCTCCTCACCTACTAAATATAGCAACAATGTATTCAGTGCCTTGCGATACTTACCGTAAATAATACAAAATATTTTTGATTATTTTCACCCACACAATTGTTCACCCATGGACAATGATGATCCATTTTTCGTATACACCGCTGGCAGACGGAACAGTGGTGGGCACGATCCGGTTTAATACTGCAACATTTTGGGCATTTGAATATCATTTGACCCTCACGATAGCCCATTTGTTCGATCATTTCTTTGGTGGCATTGCCGCGAGGAACGGCACCCTATAACAAAAAACATATAATTCAATTAGTCCATCCACAGCAAGGGGAATATATAAATTCTTACCGGATCCGATAACATGGTCCTGATATGTGAGGCAAATGCCAAAAATGCCAATGCCTGAAATATAATGGTATTCACGGTACTGAAGACTGGATGTGGACTGGGCAGGAGTATGACACGCATCACAACAAACTCGGCAAACAAGATGAGCAGCCATGTCAGGACGGCACAAAATATGCCACAAATATCTTTGACACACCAAAAACGTCCACCACAGGAGCGATTGTGGGGATCGTTGGCACCGCTGCCACCCAAAGGGGTATACATTATGCGCCGTGGAGATCCCAGAAATTGTTTTTTATGAAGCTATCGCCAAATTGTTGGTCGTTTGGTCGCACTTTCGAAGGTGAAAATCTGAAATCGTATGTAGTTCCAATGTTTTTCTGTTTTTATTCTCGTCTATTTTGATGTCTGGCTGGTTATAGCACAAAGCCAGGTGTTTTATTTCCCTGACGCCGTTATAAACAACAATATGGGGAACGAAAGAAAATCAACCCAAAAAAGATGAAGAATCAAAACAAAAGGTGGGTAGAGATTAATAAATCGAAATATGTCATTTTAAACAAACAGCTGATTTGTAGGGTTACCAAGGCAGAAGAAAAGTCATGGCACAAGTCGCGGAACAACTCTAGTTTAGTAAAAACGATCAGATTTTTCGGAGGTATGTAATTTTACTCTAATTATGGGGATATCCTTTTTTTCTTGGGCGACGTACCCGGTTACCCAGGTATTTTACCCGGAAGTTCGGTTACGGGTATCCGGTTATACCCGGTTCTACGGATCCGGTCAATAAAAATTGGGCATCATTTTAAAGGTTATAAAAATACCTTTCTATTGAGAGAGATATGGGCTTCCGAACGTATGTTGGGACCCTTGTATTTTGGCCTTGATTTTAAAATTAAAAAAATATGCTCCCGCATTTTAAGAATCTCCTAGTTTTAACTACGATAACAAATTCCCCTTTATGATATAAACAACATTTTAAAAAATAGTAGATTCTTGCAATTCGGGGACAGACCAATTATGGGTTCTATTACAATAATATAGGTTTAAAATAATATAGGTTTAAAATAAAAACCTAACTAACTAATTTCCAAAATATCAAATTAGAGCTAATTTGGGGGAAAACATACCTAATATTCCCAAAATTTCAAATTCGGGGAGGTACCTTTATTATGGGGGCTAACCTAAAAAATAAACCGATATAATTGATATTTGACAAATCTTGGCCAAAATCCTTGAAATTACGAATATATGGGGACAATACCAAAACGTGGACCGGTGTTGATAGTTTTTGTTAGGAAGATGTAAGACCCAATGAGAAACAAAATATATAACTAAAATGAAATCGGTTGAAAAACGTACCAAAAAGCCCTAATAATAGAGTTACTGTTATAAAGGGGGATAACCTGAAAAGTGGGCCAATATAGGTTATTTTTGGTATTTTCTATCCAATGAGAACATAAACTATGAAATTGCGGGCAATTCATTTGGACAACGTGTACGAAATTCTTAAAAAAAAAAAAAAAATCGGAAGGTTCCCTTGTATGAGGATTATACTTAAACGTGAACCAGACATAGATAAGATGAACCAGTTGGAAGATTTTCTACTCAATCAAAATCCATAATATAAAATTACAGTAAACCCATTTGGAAATCATGCGCAAAATCTTTTAAATAACCAAGTTCCAAAGGTACCCTAGTATGGGGACTATACCTAAATGTAAATCAATATATATTGGTAGCGAAATTACATTCAAATTCCTCTTTGTCTATCAAGAAGGACTCTTCGCCATCCTTAAGAAAGTATAAATAACCGAGTTCGGAAGGTAACCTAACATAGGGTCAATATCTAAATGTGAATCAATATATATTGGTAGCGAAAATACATTCACATTCGGTTGGAAAAGCCCCAGTTCGCCTTCTTTGAGAAGCCCTCTTTGTCTATCAAGAAGACCTAGTTCACCTTTCTTAAATACAACCTCTTCGTCTTCCTCAAAAAGTCCGCCTTCGCTTTTCTTAAAACGACCTCTTAGCCTCCTTTCCTACTTTTAGAAGGTCTCTTCGGCTTTCTAAAACAAGTCTTCATCTCTTTAAGAAGGCCTTGTCGGCTTCTTTTCGTCTTGAAGTATATTGATATTATTTGTTCCCTATATATAACTTCTAAACGGCCCCGTACAAACAAGATTAAAATTCACCCAATAATATTCTACAAGACCTCTTATTCTTCGCTAGGCGACCTTTAGACTATTATTTAATAATACTTTTCATTTTTTTAAAACAGTTTTAAATTTTTATTGATTTTTTTGGGAATGTTTTTTTCTTGTATTTTTGTAAAAAAATAATTTAAATTATGGTCCAATAAAACATAAATATTCAAACACATTTTCTCTTCTAAAATTAAAAACACTTTTTTACAATGTTTTCTCTACAACAACAACAGCATTTAAGCCGGTGTCAACTTAGCTGTCGGTTCAATCATTGCAATTAACCCAGCCAGCGATGATATCGCACCAAGCACACCAATTGTGCGAGGTGTCAACTTCGTATAACCCAATGCTGTCAGCGGTATAAAGAAATCACAGACATTCTTCACAGTGTCCACAAAGACATCTTTATGGCCCAAAACCAATGCGTACGACTGCAATGCTAAACGGCTTAGATCTTTCCTGGATCTAATTGTGCACGGAATACTGCGTGAAATGCCACTACGCACAGAGGCCTTATGCAAATCCAACAGACGTACGATTTCATAAAAATCTCTACATAAATTCATAATAATCGCCAACAGCCAATATTTATTGGCATATTTGCCCCATTTCTTGGCATCGATACTCTTAAAGAAACCGGTACGGCCCAGCCATAGGAAATGATCGGCAAACAAAAACAGGGCCTGTGATAGTTTACCGGCTGTCAAGGTAACACGTATGGCCAAATCGGGATAGTGGATGGTTCGCAAACTGGCATAGAAGACATCCAGGCATTTGCCAAAGCGTAGCACTGCAACAGGGACAACAACATCGGATTAAAATTAATTTCATTTCCAATTTGGTTTTCAATATATAAACTCACATTTCCGGAAAGTACTCAGTATGTATTCCAAAGATTTGAAATCTTCCACCATGGCTGGACTTTTATCGGCAGCCTCCAGAGAATCCCAAAGGGCACGCGATGCATATTGTATCAATCTAATCAACAAAAATAGAAATAGAATTAAGATTAACTATTTGTCTTATCATGAAGTTTCACCACACCGCTGACGAGGCGTACCGCACCATCAAAACACAATAATTACCGTGCTATTTTATCTCTGCCAGCGGCCTGATTATTCAGTTGCACCCATTTGTCCATGTTCATGATTGTTGGCCGTTCTGTAGTTCCAGATTGTGTTTAACAAAACCAATGATCAGCTACCAACTAATCGTCAGGTTGTACTACTGCTGCTACCGAAACTAATGCGTTTTCAAAAAAGGGTTTATCTCGACTGACTTTCTAATGACACCCCCGTCCGCCGCCACTAGTCATCACGGAGTACAAGGTTCAAATGATAAACAAACAAAATCTTTAGAATCGCCAGTGATGGAAAAATGGGAGCAGAAACGCAAAATAGTAACCGGATAAATGGTTTACTCTTTTTTATAGGTTTTGAACAAAATATAAATAGGGGAATTTTTATTAATGGGAAATTATTTAAAAAATAGTTGTATATATGTATATTATTTGTTATAATATGTAAAATTGTATTTCAAACAATTTTTGACCAAGTACTTAGTTCCATTGTAATTTGAAGTCCCAACACTGCCAATAAACATTTACAGCTGTTTCAAGGGTTGCCACTGCAAATCATTGTTATTAGAACTACTTTGGCAGGGCAATTAATGTTTTTATACAGAATAGAGGTTATATTAATTTTCTCATACCGATATATTAATTTCCGACCTATAAAAGTATTTATGTATAAATTCTGGGATGAGGGTTAAATTCTAAGACGTTCTATCCGTGTTTTAAATTCACATTCTTCATTGAAATAGGGTGATGAAATTTTGCATAAAATTACCTTTAGACATAAGACATTTTTAGCCAAATTTTTTGTAGTCTGAGGATTTCGGACACTTTTTAGCCGAATTTCCTGTAATTTAATCATTGGGGTTCAATACACTGCATACAACATTACCTCCCAAATGTTGCGGAATTTTTTCAATATCATTGGTTATATTTTCATATTTTGCTTTCAGAACAACCTTATTTTTTCAGTTTTAATATAACCCACATATAATAGTTCCTCCCGATTTCCGTACTTAGAGGATTTTGTGCACGTCTGGTAGAGAAATGTATATTCTCGCAAGATATATGTTGAATAAAATGGGAAATAGGTAATAGATTCCAATTTTCGATATCTGTATTTTTGTCCACGTAACAACTCAGAGAAGGCTCACCGAACATTCAGTACTCCAACCAGTGTTCAGAGAGTTCGCCGCTGAATAAAACCAAACGCAATTATAGACCTTAATTCTTGCAAAGCTTTCCAGTAACCTCTATGTTGGTGGGTAGCAAGACCGAAATCCTTGTTCAAGGACGGCAGCAACATCGATTCAGTGAAATTCCGCCCGAATCAAAGGAATTAAATGGCTAATAGTACGTTTACATTTAACCGGATTTCGTTAACCCAGTGGGTTTCAATTGTCAATTCCTTTGCGTATATGTCAAATAACTTATAAAATAGGTTAACCCGGTAAAAAGTTATGATGTATATGCCTTTTGAGCTTTGGAATATATATCTCTACTTCACTGGATGTGCATGATATGGAATTCGGGTATAATTTCAGTTTTTTGCAACTCTCGCAAGAGGCCCAGGAGAATAGTTCCGGCTCATTCGAAGAATTCTGGAAGAAGCGAAATGTTCTAAACCACAACTGAAACACAAGAAAAATATTCATTATCAAAAAAAAAAAATTGGGTCTGGTTTCTCTGAGTCTAAATTCTGGATGATGCTTTCAAGTGGTATACGGTGTAGTTGTGAATTTAGACGTCTTGATAAGGCTGTCGAACGTTACAATCCATACCTTGGGATAATTGTTGGTTAAAATTTGGTTTCCATCGACAATTATGTGAAGTGGGACGTCCAAGTGGTGTATATTTTTAAAAATCCGCGCCTATGGCTAGTCCTAAAAAGCATTTTAAAATTATCCACGACTTAGATGGACTCTAAAATATTTTTTTTTTCAAAAATTCAGACCTTACAATTTTTTTTCAAATGTTCAGGCCTTAAAAATATTTTTTTTTTTTTTCAAAAATTCAGGCCTATTCATCAATCTTAAAATCTTTTATATCTACGCCTAAAGGTTTGATTGATTTTTGGATTGGGGTTTTAAATTAAAAAAAAAAACATTTTTTAAAGGTCCCTTAAAAATATTTTTAAAAATTGGATTAAAAATATTTCTAAAAATCCACCCCAATAACTGGTCCCCCATGGACTAGACTTAAAACTTGTTTTAATTCACTCTCACCTATTGAAGGCCTTAAAAGAGTTTTTTTTTTTAATTTCACGTCCAGACATGAATTTGGATTTTTCAATTTTTATACAACCACACGCATTTGTGGTAGGTATACTAATGTTATTAAAACATAGTCAACACCATGGCAACCCTGATCCAACATGACAACCCCTGTCATTCCACTTCGTTTCGTTTTTTGACGCGTGTCAAAAACTCATTCGTAAACATTGCCAATCAAACCTTGGAAAAAATTTAAGTGGAAAGTTGTCAGGCCTCTGTGGTATTGAAGAATTTTCGATTTTGTTTATAACTTTTAATATAAGAATTACATAAAAAAATGGCGGTAAATATTAAATAATAACAAATTAAGAAATTTGTGTCACAGAAAATGTTTCCAATTTTAGCCCCAACCAAAGGGTAAACAAGGCACCAAAGGAGCCAAACAAATTGTCGAGGAGAACAAATCCACTTTGGTATTCTACAGGAATATGGCATTGGGCAGTGCTGCAGCCTCGATTTTGGTGAATTTCATATTCTTTGAAATTGGCAAGGTGACAGTGGTATGTTTGAACGTGATGGGGAGGTTAGGAAGATGCCATTTCATTGATGATTTTTCTGTACATTGTTGTAGATAATGAGCATTTTATCTTTGCTAACACTGGGAGCAGCATATCAATTTATGGCATTTATGTCAAAGGCCAAATATTCGGAAACTGGAGCTTTGCTGGATTCCGGTAATGATTTGAATATGGAGGGTGGCATTGCAGAGTAAGTGAAGGAATATTGAATGAATTTTTGGTATTCAATTTATTTGTTATTTCTGTTTTTTTAGAAATGTTAAGGATTTGATTATCCTCACCTCGGGCACAATGTTATTGTCAATGGTATCCAACTATTTCTGGTTCCTACTGCTGTTGGCCCCCCTTCGAGCCTTGTATATGTTGTGGGGCAGTGTTATCAAGCCATGGTTGGCCCAAAAGAACGAAGCCCAAGAACCCGAAATCAATGAAAAGAAACAACGCAAATTGGAACGTAGAATGCGTCGCCAAAGATGAAAACTCCTCTTTATCTAAAAATTTGGTGTTTTTTCGTCATGGCTTTAGATATAGTTATATGTTTTCCTATATACACATACACACATTGTTGTAATTAAGATTGAAGAGATTTTTTACCAGTTGCCATTTTTTAATGTCGATGCTATATGGTTGTACAAACATAAATCGGTCCTTGTTTTGTGCACTCACTCATCTTTTGGCAAGGAGTCCATTCTAATCTCGTAAGTCATTAGTGTAAAAAAAATATGAAAGGCATAAGGTTATTTTTATGTTAAACATAATTTTAGAATTTATTTCATGTTTAAATGATTTTTTGTTTTATTTTGTATTACCTTTTTCCATTTTTTTAAATACAATAAATACAAATATTTTGTATTTTTTATGAAAAAAACTTAATTCTTGTGCTTTTAATTTTTTTAGATTTTTCAAAAAAAAAATTGGGTTCTGACATAGGCGAGGATATTAAAAAAAATTCACGTAAAGACCATCCTTAGGCGGGGACATTTTAAAAATATTTTTTAACGACCACGGACATTTATTTTTTTTTTTTAAATATTTTTGAATGCGGATTTTTAATTTTTTTAACCTTCACCACACTGTGGTACAAGGTATCACATAGAATCACATTCTTAGTTGATTTATGAATGTCCGTCCGTCCGTCTGTTGGTGTTAAACAAAGTACAGGTCGCATTTATAATCCGATTTGGATGAAATTTGGTACAGTTCATTTGTTTGGCCCAAGAATAAACCCTATTGAAATTGGGGAAAATCGGTTCAGATTTAGATATAGCACCCATGTATATTTTCGTCCGATGTTATGTAAATGGTGAAACAAAGTCCCTATATATCTTTCGATTTGCATCAAATTTGGCATAGTGTACCGAATTAAGCCTAAAGTAATGTGTGCAAAGTTTTGTGAATATCGGTTCAGATTTAGATAATAACTCCCGTATATGGTTTCGTCCGATTTTATGTAAATGCTGTACAAAAGATATATAGGGATATCTTTCGATTTGCACGAAATTTAGCACAGGGTACTAAATATTTTTAAGGTCCAGTCATAGGCGTGGATTTTTGTCAAATATTTTTATTATGCGGAGATATAAAAAATATATTTTTTAGGTACATCCATAGAATTGGAATTTAGAAATATTTTTGTTAGGTCCACCCATAAGTTTTTTCTGAGGCCTAAATGTAGGCCTAGATTTTTTAGGCTTTGTCTTTTTTAAATAGCTTTTAAGGTCCGAGAATGGGCTTAGAATTAAAAAAAACATATTTTAATGTCCATCCATAGTCGTGCTTTTTTATTTTATCCTTTATAAATACAAATATTTTGTATTTTTTAATTTTAAAAAAAATTTTGCTTATTTTCATTGCATTTAAGCTTTGGGAGTCTCTTCCGGGTTGAGACCAGATTTTTTCATTTCCACTGCCAACTGGAACAAATAATCATAACATTCAGCCCTATAATTGAAAAGAAAATCGATAAGAGTAGGAATAAATATTGAAGTCATCTTTTACACTCACATTGTCTTTGCCTTCTCCCATGTCTGACCCCAAACATAGACACCATGACGACGCACAAGTACCGCCGAACAACCAGGATATTTCATCATTGCAGCATACATCGAATCTGCCAAATCCCTTTCAAAGGGTGTATTTTCAATGATGGGCACAACCAACTTCTCATCGTAACGTAAATAACGCTTCATATCATCATCATAAATGCCCTTGATCATTTCCAAATGGGTACAGGTGAAAACTTCACCGGGCCACAATAGTGTAGCCATTACGGCATGTTGTGAATGTGTGTGTATAACGGCGCCGGCATTACGATGACGATATGCCAACATAAAGAGGGGAGTACATTGACTTTTCGATAAACTACAAGGGGGTAAAGGAGAATATATAAAGGGAGAAATGATTTTATTAATATACGTAGAAAAGGGGAGAGGAGAATAAAAAGGTAATAATTCATTTAAAATAAATTCATAAAATCTAAGTTCTTTTTAACTATTTCAAAAAGCACCTAAGTTGGAAAAATGTATACTTCAAAATAATTTGTTCAAATAGGATTTAAGGTTCTCTTCTGCGTTATAGAGAGGTTCGATCGTTCATCGATATGGAATGTAATGATAAAGCTAATTTTCAGTGTACGTGTATGCTAGTAATATTTATTGGACTTACTGCTTATAATCAGGTGGCAGTTGCAGATCTTGGCCTTCAATATTTTGCACAAATAAATCTTCGGGTTGTATGCGCTCTTTCTGGACACCAGATGGGGCTATATAGATTTCATCGCTGTAGAAAATAGTTTAAATATTAGATTATTAATTCCATGTTAATACTTCTAATACTATTCATACTTTAGCTTCATGGAGATACCACCACCAGTTCCAGTTACCCATCCCAAATGGTAAAATTGCTGACACAAAGCCGGTATTAGTTTACGAGGATGTTCCTATGAAGACAACAAATCAAATATGTATGTTAAAATAATTTTGAAATCGAACAGGTTATATTTTAAAATTGTACCACGTTCTTAAACAAACTATTTATTTAATCTTGTAATTTATAATATTTTTAATCCGGTCGTAGTACTTATCACGCAAAAGGTCATCAAGTTCATCGACAAATTTTATAAATTCCAATTAGTTTTGAAAAAAAAATATTCTATGGGAAGACAATTTTTTCAAAAATCGACCGAATATATAATTTAGGTCATAGACCACCCGTCAAACATACCTCTGGTAGATCTTTATAAATGGAGTTGGACATTTTGCAATTACTAACTTAACAACAGATAGAAATGGGGCTATAAACTAATTACACTGCCTCCCGGATGATAAGATTGATAAGAATACTTTTTTTTGTAAAATGCTGATTCAAAACAAACAGAATCCAGAATCATATGTTAGATAAACAACAACAAATCATTCTAACCTCATATGGGCGAAAGCGTATAAAAAACGAAATGTCATACGCTTAACGTAGGCGTACGTTATAATGGCGCCTGTGCATTTTTTTGTCATAATGGTGATATGGCAATATGTCAAACTGATATTAAATGAAGTATTCCAGACATACAAAATACGGTTGCTGGATCAGCACAGTTAAGGGGGAAACACATAAAAGGACTTCAGTTTTCGCATGTTATGTTGGCTTTGTATGAAATCTCAATTTATAAAGGAATATCAGAGTCAAACTTAATTTTGGATGCCGTTCTCCTTTATTCTTTTACCATAAAATAAGTCAACTTCCTTTTCCTGGTGGTAAATTTCTAATGCTCTTCACTAGGAAACGTAAGATTCTTAATTTCTGCATGCCATCTTTGAGAGGAGTGACTTAACCGCAAATTAACGTGGAATAGAAATGTTGAGGAACGCTCTAAGTAAGGACTGATAGCAATATACTCATGCAAGAACTCCATAGATAAGAGCTGGAGACTAAGACGGAGATTATACACTGCCTGTATGTGACGGTTGGTTGTTATGTTCCCTTTTTGTTGTCTTCATACTTGTTTTGCCTGTGTATTTTTATTAACAAAATTGAAGTTAGCAGACTGGCAGACATTCTCATTGGTTTCCACTTATTGGTGCAGATGCAGAACATTCGGAGGAAACAAAGAAATATTCGAATATTTCCTATGTCACTATGATGACTTGCCTGAGTTTGTGTCCAACCTGCTAGGCATTTGGTGGCTTTTTAGCCATCAACCTGACCTTGCTTTTGTTCTGATATCGCGTAGCTAACGTACAATCTCAAACGTCAATTCCTTGGCGTATAAGTCACGTAAATCCAGTTCACAAATGGAATATGAAATTGACATTTGAGATCGAGTTGATTTCGTAAATCTAAACGTACCTTATCGATTTCTATCGATCCAAGTGTCCTTGTGACAATAGTAACTTGCTCTTGGTCTACTGTCGATCCTGGTAAGGCAATTTACAGCGTAGAAAAGTTGTCATCCATCTGTACAATACATAACAGTTGAGATTTAGTAACAGTTTCTCCGGAAGCATATCCCCACATTGCTCTTCCGGTACAATTCTGTCTAAATGACCGAAGATTTCCCTACTCTGCTCCTCTAAACTTTCGCGGATAGCGTTAAAGGGCTAAGCAGAATGCTCGCGTTGAGCCAAGCGTCGCGTTATATGTTAACAAAAAATACAACAACCACAAGGAAACGATAACACAAACGCATATCGTTTCCTTGTGGTTGTTGTACTTTCGATAACATATAACGCGACGGATGGCTCAACACGAGCATTCTGCTTAGTTCTCAACGCTTGAAGTTGATGTGCGCTGTGCTTCGGAGTTTTAACTTTTTGCGTGCGTTCAATCGCAATAACAAAAAACGCCCAACGCCAACATTGTGCTTAGCCCTTTAGCGACTTTTCAATACAAAAAGTCGATTGGTCGAAAGCCGATTTACTTATCCCTAAAATATTTGCAAAAATAAAAAAATATTTAGTTCGACAAATACACAAAAAAATTGACGGCTCTTTTTAATAAAAAGAATGTTAGTATACCAATTAGTTATAAATTAAAATATTAATAATTGTGCAGACTTATGAATTAAATTCGAGATTTGTGTGTAACTTTTATATGTTTTCCAATTAAAATTGTGCAAAAAGAAAACTCAATGGTGAAATTGATATCCAAAAGAAAATTGGATATATACTTTTCAAAAAAATGTAAAAACGAATAAAACGAGAAAAAATTAAATTGGAAGGAAGATATTTACAAAAGTTTATTTAGTTATACAAAAACAAAAGAATTTTTTGTTAATTTCCATAGAAAAAGTGCATGATTTAATTTCTTCTTTCATAATTGTTGGTAATCGTTAATATAATTGGATTTCTGAAAATCCATCCACTGTGTGTATGTGTGTGCCGTTGTTAAGTTCGGCTTATGCAAACGATGACTTTCACTTTTTTCACTACTCGGCCTGTCAAAAGAAATGTTGTAATATATCGAAAAAAAGTTAAATGATATTTTACACGTTTTAAACTGCGTGTTGTATCATTATTGTATATATGTACGATATGAGGGTATGTGTGAGTGCGACAGTCGGCATTTTTTTTTGTTGTTGTTAATTTTTGCTTATATTTTTTGCACTATGTTGTGCCATGACGTGTGTACACAATTTGTCTTCATGCCCACTCACAGTATTTCTCTTTTCTCCCCTCTTTCACTCGCTCTCTCTGTCGCTCCCCTTGTGTTTGTGCAAATAGTTCTCTCCCGCTGTGTCCATCATAGTTGTGTTGTTATTGTGTTATAATGAGTACTGCCTGCCTTATCAGCTGCTGCTGCTGCCGCCGTTGACATAGCGCACCCTATGTTTTTGATTGATTTTTGCAAAATAATGTTAAAAATCAATAGGTGATTTCTTTTTAAGACTTTTATGAGCTATTAATAGCTTATAAATTAAAAGGGGTACTGATATATTGATAAATATGTTTTTTTCTAATATTATTTAATGTAGAGTTTATGTTAAAAGTTTATAGTCAAGAAATCGAAACATAGACCCAATATTGATAATTTTTTGTAGAAAGGTCTTCTGTTCAATAACAAGAATCCAATTTTTAAGACAAAAGTCCTAAAAATATCGAAATTTGGGAGTAACATTTGTAATATTTGTATGGTTTGGTTGGTAGATTTGCTACCCAATGAGCACAATAATGGAGTCAATTCGTTTGAAAGACGTGCCCAAAATTTATCATGTATTTTTTTTGGCTTGGTGTTTTTTTATTACAGAATGGAATAAATTAATAATAATATACGAATATTGAAGACTTCCTTTATATGGGGACAATTCCTAAATTTGGACCAATATATGCGACTTCTATACCAAACACTATAGGAGTATCAGCATTGTATGTTCCATAATCCAAATCTCTATTTTAAATAGGAAAAATATATCGTGATATCGTATTAAATTCCGATCAAAAATTATATACTTTATGAATGACAAATTTAATATACACTACAGCTTATTGAAATCATTATCATATCTAATACTATTAAATTCAAGTGAGTAGAGTTCATCTCCGTGGGAGTCCACAATAAATATATTCAAATCTTCTTGAAGAAAAATTTTGTCTCGGACTCCCCAAAACTCTTGTTTTTATTATTTGTTTGCGTTTGTTTTGTTTGAATATTTCATCAGTCCCCTCGTCTCTCTAGAAGATCTACTTTTTCATTTAAGAGAGGGAAAGAGAAATGTTTATGCCAAACATAAATTTCATTTATTTAATTTTTCCTTACGCTTTTGGAAAACATTTCATAATTAGTCATGCCATGTTTGGATAGTAAAAAGTGTGGCAAAAATTAGTCATCCATTATAATTCAGAGTCAAATTTCACTTGAAATAATTAGTTCATTCGCACTTTTTTATTTATTAAATGTCATCTTCTAGAGACCATGACTACAAAATATCAAAATAGAGCATGCAACGAAACACGTAAATTCCACCTGTTAAACATTTTTTGTTTATATTTCACATTTACACCGGTTTCTTTTTTTGTTTTTGCTTTTGTTTGATCTTTCTCCGGTACATCACAACAAATATCATACGATTTGTTTGACAGCCTGTCAGCAGTAACATGAACATGGTTTGTTGTTGGTACGTTATGAGAGTTATTTCTCTGCTCTCATTATTTTAATGCAATTCTCCAACTTTTTTAGATTCTAATGAAAATTAAATACAAAAATGTAATAATTATTTTAATCATGGCAATTATATATCAAAAATTGACTACTTTTAGCCTTCCAGGAAGTTATTAAAGTTTAATAAAGATAGAGAGGGAGAGAGTGAGCAACAACTATCGAAAGACAAATATCGTACGACATGAAAACAACAATAATACTAATAACAATAACAACGGTAGTAAATTATTAAATAGGCAGAGGTATGCATGCATGAATAATGTGCGTTCGTTGTTTACTAATACATTTACACACACAAACATGATGATAATAATCAACTTGATGTAAACAACACCATTGGGGGGGCAAATTTTAATGTTGCCACTGAGACACTGGTGGTTGGACGGATTATCTTTGTGGGGGAAAATGCGTAGTTATTATAAACAAAATGTGTCATAATAATTGTAAAAAAGGTTTATAATAACAATGCGTTGTAGTCATCCAACTTATATGAGTTCATGCCCCAGACTTCGACGTGCAGATACCTATTTTCAAAGGATAATCAGAAATAAAAATTGAGTCTTCTATTCAGTTTTGAGAAAAAGGTTGTTAATTTAAAAATTCTATGTGGCCGATGCTTTATATTATAATTAAGAATATGGTTGCATTATACCCTCAAAGGCCAATGAAAAGTATTCATCCTACCATAGCGAACACACCTTTTTCACCAAAATAACTTATGAAGCAAAAAATCATACTTAAAATAATTGGATTAGACATAAATCGATTCTGCTATATGGCAATTAAATATTGCCTTTGCCTGATCTATTGATGAGTGATGAATATATAGAATATTCTGGCTCAACACAATAAGTAACGTAAAACTATGGGACCTAAAGAAACAGGTCACACCTTAAACCACTTCGACCCTCTGTCCGATTAAAAAAAAAAAATCCCTAAAAAATATCCATAGCATAACCAGAATGGCGCTTTATGTGGGGGCTATGAACATAACACCGTTTGCATGAAGTTTATGAAAAAACATGGACTTAGATTATTCAATTTCAAGTACAAAAACAACTGTGCATATAATAACACAAATTTTTTAAATTTGGTGAAAATTCAAAATATAAAATTAAATTATAATAAACGTAATTCTAATGTGCTGGAAAAAGTCTACAAAATTTAAAAAAAGTGTCATTATATGCACAGTTGCCTTTATACAGTCACTAAAAAATGATTGTATATTTGAAAAGTTACTTGGGTAGATACAAACTATAAATCAAATGCCTAGTCACTTATGTATAGAAAATTAGATGTATAACAGTTTGAAAAAAAATCCGAAAATATTTGTTATAAAAATATCATATAGCATAACCAGAATGGCGCTTTATGGTGGGAGCTATGAACATAACACTGTTTGCATGAAGTTTATGAAAAAACATGGGCTTAGATTGAAAGTGTTCTGTGAAGAAGTTGCCTTATAACAGCGAATTCGGAATACAAAAATATAGTCTCTTCGGTTGAAAATGTCTATATTGTGTTACAAAAAAATTACCTCCGTTTTATCATCTGTATTTCCAATATTGAAATTAATATATATTTTTCAGAAAACACATTTCTATTCGATTTTTGCTTTTAATATTGAAAATTCAAAATATAAAATCCAATACAGGTGAAAATCCTAAACTAATAAATGTAAGGGGGTACCATTATATATATATATATATATCCAAACGTTGACGGGATATTCAAAATGTTTTTAATGAAAAGATTTGCCGGACAATGGAACCCAAAAATTACCCCAAAATGTATGTTAAGTTACGTGCGAAAATAATATCGATATTTAAGAGTTATCGTTATAAGGAAATCGCTATCCTAAAAAGAGAACCGATATTGATTATTTTTGTAAAAAATAATTTTGTTACCCAATGATAAACAAAATAAATCAAATTACTGCCAAATCGGATGAAATAGGTTCCCAAAATAACCAAATTTGCGAGGCGCCTTAACATGAGGACAACCCTAAAACGATTAATTTTTTTATACCCAATGGTATAAAATATTTTGATACCAAAATATCAAACAGTCAATTCGGACGAAAAACTTGCCCAAATTTCCAAAATATTGAAATTTTTAAATTTTAAAATTGATCGTTTTTTTAAAGAAGAGTTGCTGCTAGCCAATTGGAATCAAAAATATAAATTTATAACAAACACAGATGAAAAACTTTCTTAAAATCCCAAAAAAGAGCACCAATATAGATAAATATTGCCACCCAATGAAAACCCCTTATATAAAATTACAACCGATTCGAATGAAATACGCGCCCATAATAAAAATAATATACCGAATATTAGGTGTAACGTTATATAGGCGCTGTATCAAAAGTTGTGCCGATATATTCAATTTTAAATATAAAACATCTTAAAAATAATGGGCTAATCGGTATAGCCCATGGTATAAAACGGTATAGAATTTTATTCCGATCACGAAAATATTCTTCATTATATCTCTGGTATATATATTTCAAAGAGCTACAAACGGAATAAACAATTTATAAACTCCACCATCTATAAAAAAAAACATTATTTGACAAGATCTGAACGCCCTTAATATTTCATTTTAAATTTGTTTTTATTACGATCTTCTGCCCATAAATAGGTACACACGATTATTGACTAGTTGTCTACTTGGCTACTAAGAAGACAGCAACAGGTATAGACACTTAATATCCCTTACTAAGCAAATAAATTTGCATTGTGTCCTACTTTTGGGATTAGCCAGCGAACAACATCTGGTAACCTTGCACTTGAATGACCGAATAATGACGTTACTACAACATGACAACAACAACAACGAGATTAATATAAAACCTGTCTCAGAGTACGTACCTGTTGTGTGTTGTCAGCAAATCAACAATAAATGAAATCTCAGCTGTTCTCTCACTCTCTGTCATAGCAACGTCAATAGCAACAACAAACTCGTTGTTAAACTCGCGCCACCATCATCGGCAACACCGGTGTCGTCGTTGCAATCAATTTTTCAGAGTTTTTGACCAAAGTCAGGCAAACAACACCATTCAGTTTTAATTTAACTCGTGAAAGGTGTGGATCATTGTGTGGTGTCACCTGCCGGGAGATCGTTTCAAGAAACGGAAAAAAGAAAAAATTAAACAACGGTTGGTGTTTTTTTTTGCTAAGTACGCTTTAAGCGAGGAGTGTTACAAAGATGTTGTTGTTTTGGTGTATGTTGCGTGTGAACTTTGTTTTAAAATAATGTGAAGACGACAACGAAAATGAAAACGAAGAATTAGGGAAATAAAAGAAAAATAAAACACAATTTTTTTAAACTTTGCCCAGTGACACGAAGAAATGTTTAACCAAAAAATATGCATGTTTATTCAGAAGGATGGAGAAAGAAGTACAATGGGTGAAAAAGAAGAAGAGGCGTGAGCCGAAGGGGTATTCATGTTAAAATGTTGTTATTTCTTGGAGTTTGCTTTGACAAGTTTTTGGTGTGTTTGTGTTTGTCTTTTTTTCGGGTGAAGTGAGTTGTGTTAATTTAAACAAAAACGGCAACAACAAACAAAAATGCGCTTGCTTGACAGTCCGTTCGTTTGTTCGTTTTGTGTGTCGTAAGCCGCCAAAAATTAAATGACTTGAAGATGAAGGAAAATAAAAAGAGAAATTTTTTACCGTTGCATTTGTGTAACGTCGGTGGTGTGATGTGATGTGGGACTGTGTGTGATGGGATGATATGAAATGATGAAAAAGAAGATGATCTTTGTGTGTGCGACGATAGTCTGCTGTTGTGTTGTTGATAACACAACTAAGTATTTGTTTGTGTTTTTTTTTTTTGCTGCCTGTCGTATTGCCTGATCGATCTTGCCACTATTGTCGTAACGATTGCATTCATTAACAATAATCTATAATTTTCTAAAACGTTTTTCTATTTATATTTTAAATATGAATTTAAAATCATTGACTGCCAAAGGTCATTGGAATAATTTAAAAATTGCACAGTGGAGAGAGTTTTAAAATGAAATACATTTAAATTATCTAATTAAAATATATTAATGGTATTTCTCCGTTTTTTTTCATTCCAGCACACTTTAAAATAATTATAACAGAAAAAAATCCCCTTCACCTCTAATCGCGCACTATCTTCAAACAATTTTGAATTAACAGACCACACACAAAATGTCAGCAAAGGCTATTTGTGAAGCCACCGGCAAGGATATTTTGAATCGCCATCTGAATGCCAATGGTGCCGGTTTCCAGACATGCCGCTTTGCCACAGTCAACATGAAAACCGATTGGTCTCAATTGGCTGTTGAACAGCCATGGTTATTGAATACGGTAAGTACGATTTTGGTTATATTTTTGGAATAGAATTAATAAAATAAGGCTTAAATAATCTTTAAGGTCATCTCTTCTATGGGAAGATGATGAGAAGGCTCCTACACGTAGCCTCAATTGATACTGATATATAATTTTTCGGGAATTTTATACCCCATATCTCGCGAGGAATGCATTTAAGGACACAAAGAGAGCTACCTATGGTTAAATTAGATAAGCTTTTAAATCATTCTGATGAAAGGTGACCAAAAAATCTAATTTTTTTAAAAAAAGTCCACATTTGAGGGTTTGGGAATTTGGAACCTAATATATCCAGAAGTATATAATTGCTCTCAAAAAGTTATGTTGCTTAAATCAAGCTACCTATGTAAACATTTTCAGATTTTTTCTGAGAGGTAGCCCTAAAGGAAAATTGTTCACAAAATTCATTGGTTGTCAAATGCGGCTAAAATCTTCAAAATACGAAATTTTGAATGTAGAATGGGTCCTGGTCAATGAAGATCCCTATTGTTTTTGTTAAGATCGGTTAATATTTAGTGGATGAGATAGACCAAAAACTTTATTTTTGTCTGATTTTCTGGTCGCTCAGAGGCGAAATGGACATAGACCCGAGAGGTTGATATTATATCCTAGAGGAGTGGTTGAATTTTAAATTGGTACCATTTATATTGTCGTATGTACTCGGATGTGGGAGTTACACTTAAATATTTACAGGTGCTTACGCATTCAGACATTATTTAGTAACCCATTACCACACTAGAGGGCGGAAATAAAAATGTTGGGATAAAGTGGACCGAAAACATAATTTGTCGTACTTTTTCGAGTCGATCTATAGGCCACAATTGAAAGCCGAACATCACAACAAAACCCATGGTGAAGGGAATCTGGACAAGTAATTATGGGGGATGTACTGAATATTGGAAATAGTCGGAAAATAGGTCTAAGGAAGAGGTGCTGTTTACCTCTAATCGGTAAAGAGGGTGCAAATATCACGAAATATTGCCCAGGCTCGAAAGTAAGAGTTCCGTGGTAGTTGTGTAGGGTATCGTATGGTCGGTCCCGTCCGACTATACTGCTCCGCTCACTGGTTTTTAAATATCGTTAATAATAATGCTATGGAAAATATAATGAAAAATGTATTGAATTTCTAATAAAATACTCCTGAAGAAACGTTGAGTAAAAAATGAAATACTTTTTAAAAGTATTGACCAAACACATTAAAATAAAAATTACCTCATTGGAAATTTTCATCAAGAAAATGGTTGAAAAACTTGGACCTTCAAAATACCCATGTTCATTAAGCCCTGCCAACCGTAAGATCATTATGATCTATGACCAGTAATAAATGTGGAATTCATTTATAGCCTCAATGTATCCATGTCCACTGATCAGACTTTGATGCAAACGCGATATAATTTGCCGATTATATTAGATCGAGGGAATTTCTAAATTCACTTTTCCTTCCAGATTCCTTTTTTAATTCCTTTTATTCCTTATTTCACACTAAAATGGGTCACTTCCAATGAAAATATTATAGCTGATGGGGACAAAAAACCCATAACGCTTTCTTAATAAATCACATAAACAATAGAAATATGCCATATATAAATATTAAATGACCTGGCATTCATTCAAATCCATTGATTAATAAATATTTATAATATGCTAAGCTATTCATGGATGGTGTTTATGTTAGAAATAAAAAATCAACAACAACAGCAATTATTTCATACGAAACTTGTTGAGGCATAACATTTGGTGTGCCACCACTATCTTGCATAATAACCAATCAATCGTATCGAAAAGGTAAAACTAAACTCATAAATTCGATATTATGAATGGTGGTCATAACAAAAGAAAGAGAAAAATAAACTATCATTAATCAAGTGAAAGTAATATTGTGTGTTTAGCCATGGTTGAACTTTATCCAAATTGCTAGAAAAATATTAATAGACCAAATTATCGTACCAAAACGAGGACTTGGATTTTTTAAACCAAAATTTCCTATAATTTGAATGTACACTTCATGGTGAGGGGTATAAATAGTTCGACCCAATCCACTTGTTTTACTTATTATATCATTTACAGGAATTGAAAAGTATGTTTCTCATAATAAAAAGTAAAATATCATTTCGAACTCTCCTCGATTTGATCAGTTCCCGCTCTAACTCTTTCATGACTCATTTTTGTGTCTTTCAAACATGATGATATTATTTTTCCAATAATTTTTTTCTTTTATTTCATTGCTATAGAGATAAGAATTTGCTATGCATTTCGTCGGTCTTCAACAATTGTTTAAAGAGGTTCTACTACCAGTAATCACAACCTATCATTGCTGTTATGGGGCCATAATAAATAAATATACATTTCATTGCAGATTTGTGATAAGTTTTTTCAGCATGAAAAATCTGAAAAATAGCGTTCACGTTGCAATACAATGATTATGTTTACTTGAGAGATTAAATATGAGGAATTACCATATGTATGGGCATTGGGGTCTTCAGGCTATCAGTCAGTCATTCAGTTCACACGTGCATAAGAAAAAAAAGAACAACTGGAGCTTTTGTTTTCGGATAGAAATTTAATAATACCTTAGGTGTTATTGTACTCTATCTCAAATGTTAATAGATGCGCGACCCCCCACCAAAGATTTAATCTAACATATTTTTTTCTTTAGTCTCTAAGTGGACTCAACATTCTCGCCTGATCTGAAGGTGCATTTTTTTGTTGTTTGATTACTTTGTCGTGATCGTAGGGTGTGTGAGGAGGCCGTATGCTTCATATTTCTCAGACCATTCTCCTCCGTACACATGCTGCAATCGCATGGCATGCTACTGAGGGGAATGCCTGTGCTGTTGTGCTGCTAGTGTGTGGTGGTGTGCCGGCTCTTTGCCATTTTAAGTTTTGTTTTGAATTTCAGAATATTGCTTTGCTTTATCTCGGCATAATTTTATGGTTTAATAATGTAATCAAAAGGTATACCACGCCATAGCCAGCCATCAACCACGAACACGACCTGAATTAAACAGATGTTCGTCTTCGTCGTCAACTATCACCAAGTAGCAGTCGAGTCTTAAATGGCACACGTTTTTTATTGCATAAAAAAATAATTATTATTTGTCTGAGTATCAGCTATGCTCAGATTTTTAGGTGGTCGCTTTATTCGGATACCAAACGACCACTGTGATTATCCTTAACAAAGCAAGAGACCTTAATAAGTACTCAAAATGAAGACCTTAATAAGTACTAATGATGGATATACTGGAGGATTCTACTGCAAGATGCCTTAATAAGTACTCAAGGATTAATCTTCCCACTTGATCGAAGATGAAGGATATCGGTCCACTCCTTCTGGTACCTCCTGAATAAAATTGTCAAAATTTTGGTGATATTTTTTTTTTATAATATTACGTAAACGGAATACTCGGTTTAAACTAAAATTTGCAAAACTTAATATTAGAACCATGAATGTGTACCGTTCGATGATGGGATTTATCGGCCCACTCCTACTGGTACCTCCCGTACAAAGTGTAAAATTCCAGGCTGGAAGATGTACACTGAGGCTCCAGATGGCTAAAAGTCACTGAACTTTGGACATGCTACTATCCTAAACACAAAGCCACTTTGTGACCTTCTAGAGAGGAGTGGACCGGCGACTGCATAAGTCTATAGTCTTGAGGCGTCAATTAAGTCGTGTACTATTAACTCAGAAGCGGTTCGTGACTCCAAGGAAGCTCTGCTTGATATTCGCCAGATATTTAACTTATGTTGGGTTTCAGGACGCAATGAGGAAATGAGATAGCCGATGACCTGCCCGAGGAGGTTCACTGTCGTCCAATCTACCTATTAAGGAATCTGTACAACCTCATATTGGCTACTTTATTGGCAAAATCCGTATGAGCTACTGTGAGGTAGTCTGCAAGAGATGGTCAACGGAACCTGGATGCCGGATTTCAAAAACCATTTGACCAGAATTCTCTCGCCGTAGAACTTCTTCGCTTCTGTTTAATAGTTACAGGGAGATAAAAATCATTGTGGGGATCATAACAGGTCACTGCAGGATTATATCATTCACTTCCACAATAAACGGAGTGGATTGTTGCCGTCTATGTGAGGATGAGGAAGACCTGGAAACAATTGAACATTTACTCTGTAGGTGTCCATCGCTAATTAGCAGAAGACACCGGCAGTTTGGTAAATATGAAATAATAGAATAGATTCCAAGCTGATCCCTAGCTTTGTTAAAACTCGAACATGTTAAAATTGTTTTTATACACATCGTCTATCTTACCCCCACACTTTTCTAACCGGGAAGAACACAATGGGCATATGTCAGTGAGTGAACGTCCCTTAACCTAACCTAGATTATGCCCGCAGATTGAACCTATTGGTCTACTCCTCTGGTACCTCTCACCCAGTGTCAACATTTTTTTTATTTAATTTGTTAATTCTCAATATCAAGCCAAAATTGATTGTCCGATTTGATTCAAATTTTGAACATAGTAATATTTTAGCAAACCTAGATCAATGTCGGAGATGGGAACCTCTCTTTGTTACCCTCCAATAAAAATAATAAAACCTAGGCTGAGGTAAAACAGACCGATACTCTCTTTAAATGTTTTTTTACAGCTTCTAGGGACTCACTGGGAAACCCTAACAAGTATTTAGTTTAAAATCTACTTTTTTCAATTAAAAACAATATTTTCATTAAACACAACACAAATTTGGCCACGTAATATAGCGTTTTAATTTTTGTATTCCAAATTATTATTCCATTTGTTCTTCCTATGTGAGTGTGATGAACGAACGCATCACATTTCATAAGCGTTATAATTTATGTCTACTTAATTGGTTGTCATTAAATAATGTGTTTTTTCGCAAAAAAATGTTCTTTTGTTGTTGTTGTCTTCTTTTTCCATTATCAGTATTTTGTGACTGCGAAAAAGCCTCTCCCATCTCAACATTTTTTAAATGATAAGAATTATTTTACTGATTAATTGCTGCTTATGTTTTATTGTGTGTTAATAGCATAGCTGCTGGTGGCACCCTATAGCCCCCCAGCAACGATTTTTTTGTGTGTCAACCTAGTTTTATTATTTTGACACTGAAAAATTTAGTTTTTTTTTTTAAAGATAACAATAGTTTGTTTTTTCTTTTCTTATGGGAAGTAATCGTATCACGCCATAATGACAATGTCAATGTTAATTGTTTGATAATCATCGTTTTAACATCAGATGCTGCTTTGGGTATTTAGAATCTGATGATGGGTGGGATAGGTTAGGTTAGATAGAATTTAGAGTGGAATATAGGGATGTGAGAAAAGGATGAGATAGCGAAAAAAATTATATTGACCAATTAGTCCGATGATGAAAACACCTTAAAATAAAATTACTAAATATAGGGTGAAAACCCCACATACGATTTTTGGCAATGCTATGGGTTTTAGTAGTGGGATCTATGCCGAGGCAGAAGCGCTAGAGTACCAATATTTTTGGAATTTTATTTTATTTTTATATCTTAAATGATTTTTTACCACAAAACGCATTAATTAACGCCTATGAACTTGCTTTAACGGGGATTAGATGTTTATCAACTTATAAACAGGTATATTACCTACTTTGTAGATTAAAATATATATGTATATATATATATATATATATTTGAAATCTCATATAATATATGATTCATAGATGGGGGATCAACGACATTCTAATAAAAATAAATTATTTCAACTCTTTATTTGTACTCTTTCTTTTTTTAATACCAGCACCAAAATTGCGCATTTTTTCCCCTCACATTCTTATTCTTCTTATAACAGTTCTTTAAATGGCAAGCACAAATATCTAATTTCGCATTTGTTTTTGCCTAATCTAAAATGCACAATGTTGAATTAAATGAATTGAATATAATTGCGATTTTTAAAATAAAATAAAAAAATTCAAATTAAAATAATTCTAAGGCTACAAGAACCTGTTTTGTTAACAATGGACAGAATTTAAAGAAGAAGCAGAAAAAAACAAATGTGAAATTAGAACATTTTCGAATTACCAGCAGTTTAAATTTAATAATATCTGTAGATCTATAAAATCTACTAGATGTATAATTGCTCTGCAAGATAAGGTATTTGATTTATTGTTTGGCTCAGAAACTAAATACACTCTAATACGCCCAAAATATTTCTTTGGACTAAAATCGAAAATCTGATTCTCCTACATACCCTTTATTTTATCCTTATAATTATTTCTCTTGAATACTATCGTACACAGGAACATCATAAAGGAATAACCGAAAATTTCAATGAAAGCAATAACAAATATTTTTTCACGTTCTCAAATCAGGAACCAGTTATTAAAATATAATTTGTTTTACCTATAGTCTCAATAGATTAAATATTTAACCAAATGAAAACAAAATATTGCCCCTGCAATCCAAAACAATGTAATCCAATCCCAGTTTTTTAATAAGACAATTGAGAAATTTATTTAATTATTCCGTTAAGTAAATATAACTTGGGGAGAGGTGGCTCCGACAACTAATAATAATATTTGTTTTGAATTGAAAAATAAAAAAAAAAACTATTGACTTAAATCAGGTGATGTGTATGCATGCAGTTTTTACAAAAGCACCTAGCTGTGTGATAGTGTGTGTGTATGCGTACGACGGGCATATGGGTCACACTTGTGTAGTGTCGTTGTTGTCGTCTTACCAGATTTCTGTTGTTGTTGTCACTTAGATTATTTAATGAAATGCATACGCGACCATAGAATATTTGACGCAAAACTTGAACTTATAAACGATTTATTTTAATTTCCTTTGCTTCTATTTGATTTTTCAGCCATTGGTTGTAAAACCCGATCAACTTATCAAAAGACGTGGTAAATTGGGTTTGATTGGTGTCAAAAAATCATTTGACGAAGTTAAACAATGGATTGGCGAACGCATGGACAAAGATCAACAGATTGGCAATGCCGTTGGCAAGCTGAGGAATTTCATTATCGAACCATTTGTGCCACACACAGATGTAAGTCTCACAAAAAATCCTAACTGTAACATTTTAATGAAATCTCTCCCTATTGCTTTTTAGGCCGAAGAAATGTATGTCTGCATCTACTCTCACCGTACGGCTGACACCATTCTATTCTATCACCAAGGTGGTGTTGATATTGGAGATGTTGATGCCAAGGCCTTGAAATTGGAAGTGCCCGTAAACACTGACCTCTCGTTGAATGACATCAACGAGAAACTCTTGACTCATGTGCCTGCTGCCAAAAAGGAGCGTGTTGCTAATTTTGTTAATGCCCTGTACAAGACCTATGTTGAGTTGTATTTTACATATTTGGAAATTAATCCCTTGGTGGTTACCGATACCGATTTGTATATATTGGATTTGGCGGCTAAGCTGGACTCAACCGCTGATTTCATTTGCCGTCCTAAATGGGGTGATATTGAATATCCCCCACCATTTGGTCGTGATGCCTTCCCCGAGGAAGCCTATATTGCTGATTTGGATGCCAAGAGTGGTGCTTCATTGAAGGTAATGCGAATTTGAAATGTTCATTTAAATTCCCACTTACTCATTTCTCTCTTCTCTCCTGTAGTTGACAATTTTAAACAGAAATGGCCGCATCTGGACCATGGTTGCCGGTGGCGGTGCCAGTGTTATTTATTCCGATACAATTTGTGATTTAGGTGGTGCCGCCGAATTGGCCAACTATGGCGAATACAGTGGCGCTCCCTCGGAACAACAAACCTATGAATATGCCAAAACCATTTTGAATCTAATGACCTCCTCACCCAAACATCCCGAGGGCAAGGTTTTGATCACCGGCGGTGGCATTGCCAATTTTACAAATGTTGCAGCCACTTTCCGTGGTATAATTACCGCCCTACGGGAATTCCAACCCAAATTGGTAGAACATAATGTTTCCATTTTCGTGCGTCGTGCTGGTCCCAACTACCAAGAGGGCTTACGCAAGATGCGCGAATTTGGCAGCACCTTGGGTATTCCATTGCATGTCTTTGGTCCCGAAACTCATATGACTGCCATTTGTGGTATGGCCTTGGGTAAGCGACCCATACCAACGGCAGCAAATGCTGAATTTTCAACAGCAAACTTTTTATTACCCGGCGGACAAAATGCCCAGCCCGAGCTGAGAACCCTAACCGGTGATTGCCCCAATGGTGGTAAGTGGTTTCTGCGAAATTTTCTTTTATTAAAAATTCAATTTTTTGGGTATTTAAATTTAGAATATTTTTGGTTGATATGAAGGTATATATGGAAAAGATTTCATAGTCATTGAGCTAGAATGAACAGGGAAAATGGGGTGACATTCACAGGCATCTCTTTATGAAATTGATGACTATGATAGATGGTTTTCTATAAATGGAATAGTAATTAAAAATTGAAAATGATTCTCGAAATCAATGAAAAGATCTCCGCTGGTCCTTGCCAAAAATCTTTAAAAATTGGAGATCAGCTTGATCTGGAAATCTGGTACCTCCCCCACAAAGTGTTAATATTTAGAAAATTTGCTTATTCAATATCAAACGAATGAAATGTCCGATATGACATTGAAAATTAGAGATCAGTTTGATCATAAAATTATTCTTTAGAATAACGACAAAAGTCTGCCTGAACTAAAGTAATATATGGTATTGAAAAAATTTATTTTTGAATTCCAAAGCTATGGTGGCTTGAGTATATAAAAAAGCTCTAAATATCTGATCTTAAAGAAACAATGAAAAATATTCTTTAAAAACTCCATTCTTAGAGCTCTCCAGAACCTTAAAAATAATTATTTTATACATTTACACTTAGATCTCTCCAAAATCCGCTCTTTGAGTTCTTCAGGTCCTTAAATAATTATTATTTTAAAAACTTTACACTACTTAGAGCTCTCCAGATCCCTAAAAATTATTTTTTAAAAAATTCACTCTTTGAGTTCTTCAGGTCCTTAAAAATTATTCTTTAAAAACTACATGCTTAGAGCTCTCCAGATTCTTAAAAAATACTATTTATATAATTTAGATTTAGAGATCTCCATACTCTTTAAAAAAGCCACGAATCAAACATCTGCGGAACTGCAAAATTATCCTTAAAACCCACATACGGACCCAGAAAAAATATTGTTTAAATAAAATAATGTCGAGTACAAAAATTAATTTTATTAACGATATTTTTTATAAAAATTCACTTTTCCGTATCTTTTTTTAAGACATTACTTTTAATCGGCTCCTTATTTTTATTGGCTTAGGTTTACTCTTTAAAAGTTCCGAAATACATATATGAAATCTTTTCATAAAAAATATCAACCCCACTTACAAAAATTATTTAATACGTATATATGTATATGCTCCTTTTATATAGTTATCATACAGAAAATATATCTTGTAACATTTCTTTACATCTTTTTCGTCTATTTCTCATTTGGTTCTTTTTCGAACGAATACGAAAAATAAAATTGATATATGTGTATCCTCCTTTTGTTTTATGTAATTGATTTATTTTTTTTATTTTTATGACCACTCTATGTAATCCGGCTTTTACTTACTTTATTGTGATAATGTTGAATTTAATATATTACACTAATCATTACAAATTATCATTCAAAAATCACAATTTCCCTAAACCCCTCCACATTCCCATTATTCCCCAAACATTCTTCACACACACTCTCACACAAATTCAAACTAATATCTCAACTAATCGTGTTTGTGTCTTATTGTCTATTCTGTTCTGTCTATTTTTATATTGTATTGTATCCCTATCTCCCCTTGATAATTTGTTTGATTGTTATTGTTATTATCATTTTGGTATCACCTTTTATATCCCCCATTCTTTGTTTGTGTATGTTTTCTCCTATTTCTCCCCACCACCGTTTGATGAATTGTCACCACCACCATCATCTCCTACGTCCGTCCTACGTAATGTGTGCGCGCGTATGTTGTATCTCTCGTATCCAAAAATCCTGTGCCGTTTCGTGATCGTCCACTGTGTGCCTGCGAAAAATAAAATGTGTTTACTGATCAAAATCCTTAAAAAAAATTAAAAAAAAAATTGCAACAAAAAATCATTCATTGTATGTGTCTGGTAATGTTGAAAAAAAAAATCATATCTCAAAATCAATCACAATCAAAAACACACCACCTACACCCAAAATCTCGAATAAAAATCGAACAAAAAAGGTTTAGGTTCACCCCAACAAACGATTAAACTCCCACCTATCTCGGCAGATGATACGAAAATCAACAATGACGTTGCTGATGGTGGCGTTAATCTAACCCGTAAATTCTTCACAAACAAGACCAAAGCCATCGTCTGGGGTATGCAGCAGAGAGCCGTACAATCTATGTTGGATTTCGATTTCATTTGCAGGTGAGTTAAAAAAATTGTTATAATAGATAGAATAGAAAAATATTCATTAAAAAAATCCTCAATTGGAGTTCTCCCGTACCTTAAAAATACTCTTTAAAAAATCCATGATTGTAGCTCTCCAGATCCTTAAAATAATATTCTTTTAAAAATCCACGATTAAAAAAAATTAAAATCTCCAGATCCTTGAAAAAATTATTCCTTAAAAATCCACAATTGGAGCTCTCCAGGTCCTTGAAAAAATAATTCTTTAAAAATCCACGATGGAGCGCTCCAGGTCCTTGAAAAAATAATTCTTTAAAAATCCACGATGGAGCTCTCCAGGTCCTTGAAAAAATAATTTTTTAAAAATCCACGATGGAGCTCTCCAGGTCCTTGAAAAAATAATTCTTTAAAAATCCACAATGGAGCTCTCCAGGTCCTTGAAAAAATAATTCTTTAAAAATCCACGATGGAGCTCTCCAGGTCCTTGAAAAAAGAATTCTTTAAAAATCCACGATGGAGCTCTCAAGATCCTTAAAAAATATATATTCTTTAAAAAATTAAAAAGATCCACACTTAGGAAACTCCAAGTCCTTGAAAAAATCCACGCTTAGAGAACTTCAGGTCCTTAAAAACTTATTCTTTAAAAAATCCACGCTTAGAGAACTTCAGGTCCTTGAAAATTTATTCTTTAAAAATCCACGCTTAGAGAACTTTAGGTCCTTGAAAAATCATTTTTTAAAAAATCCACGCTTAGAGAACTTCAGGTCCTCGAAAGAATATTCTTTAAAAAATCCACGCTTAGAGATCTTCAGGTCCTTAAAAAATTACTCTTTAAAAAATCCACGCATAGAGAACTTCAGGTCCTTGAAAAATTATTCTTTAAAAAATCCACCCTTAGAGAACTTCATGTCCTTGAAAAATTATTCTTTACAAAATCCACGATGGAGCGCTCCAGGTCCTTGAAAAAATAATTCTTTAAAAATCCACGATGGAGCTCTCCAGGTCCTTGAAAAAATAATTCTTTAAAAATCCAAGCAGAGCTCTCCAGGTCCTTGAAAAAATAATTCTTTAAAAATCCACGATGGAGCTCTCCAGGTCCTTGAAAAAATAATTCTTTAAAAATCCACGATGGAGCTCTCCAGGTCCTTGAAAAAATAATTCTTTAAAAATCCACGATGGAGCTCTCCAGGTCCTTGAACAAATAATTCTTTAAAAATCCACGATGGAGCTCTCCAGGTCCTTGAAAAAATAATTCTTTAAAAATCCACGATGGAGCTCTCCAGGTCCTTGAAAAAATAATTCTTTAAAAATTTACGATGGAGCTCTCCAGGTCCTTGAAAAAAATAATTCTTTAAAAATCCACGATGGAGCTCTCCAGGTCCTTGAAAAAATAATTCTTTAAAAATCCACGATGGAGCTCTCAAGTTCCTTAAAAATATATATTCTTTAAAAAATTAAAAAAATCCACACTTAGGAAACTCCAAGTCCTTGAAAAAATATTTTTTTAAAAAATTCACGCTTAGGAAACTCCAAGTCCTTGAAAAAAATATTTTTTTAAAAAATTCACGCTTAGAGAACTTCAGGTCCTTAAAAACTTATTCTTTAAAAAATCCACGCTTAGAGAACTTCAGGTCCTTGAAAAATTATTCTTTAAAAAATCCACGCTTAGTGAACTTTAGGTCCTTGAAAAATTATTTTTTAAAAAATCCACGCTTAGAGAACTTCAGGTCCTCGAAAGAATATTCTTTAAAAAATCCACGCTTAGAGAACTTCAGGTCCTTGAAAAATTATTCTTTAAAAAATCCACGCTTCGAGAACTTCAGGTCCTTGAAGAATTATTCTTTAAAAAATCCACGCTGAGAGATCTTCAGGTCCTTAAAAAATTCCTCTTTAAAAAATCCACGCTTAGAGAACTTCAGGTCCTTGAAAAATTATTCTTTAAAAAATCCACCCTTAGAGAACTTCATGTCCTTGAAAAATTATTCTTTACAAAATCCACGCTCGGAGATCTCCAGGTCCTTGAAAGAATATTCTTTAAAAATCCAAGCTCGAAGATCTCCAGGTCCTTGAAAGAATATTCTATAAAAAATCAACGCTTAGAGAACTTCAGGTCCTTTAAAAATTATTCTTTAAAAAATCCACGCTTAGAAAACTTCAGGTCCTTGAAAAAATTATTCTTTTTTTCTTAGTGAACTTCCAGATTATTTAAAAATCTTCTCTAAAAAATCCAAAAAATAACTCTTGCAAGTCTTAAAAAAATTCCGGCTTAGATCTGAGCTTGTCCTTAAAAAATCTCTAAGAAATCAATGCCTTTAGCTGATCCTTGAAAATATTTTCTTCTCTTCTTTTCCCTCTACAGACGCGATGAACCATCTGTTGTTGCCATGGTCTACCCGTTCACCGGTGATCACAAACAAAAATTCTACTGGGGTCATACGGAAATTCTGATTCCCGTCTACAAGAAAATGTCCGATGCCATTAATAAACACAAAGAAGTTGATGTTATGGTGAATTTTGCCTCCTTACGTTCGGCCTACGAATCGACATTGGAAGTTTTGGAATATCCACAAATACGCACCGTGGCCATTATCGCTGAAGGTATTCCCGAAAATATGACACGCAAAATGATATTGGCTGCAAATAAGAAAGGTGTGGCGATCATTGGACCCGCCACTGTTGGTGGTGTTAAGCCAGGTTGCTTTAAGATTGGCAACACTGGTGGTATGCTGGACAATATTTTGCATTCGAAACTCTACCGCCCCGGCAGTGTTGCATATGTCTCGCGATCTGGTGGTATGTCGAATGAATTGAATAACATCATTTCAAAGGCCACTGATGGTGTTTTGGAGGGCATTGCCATTGGCGGAGATCGTTACCCCGGCACCACATTTATGGATCACATTATGCGCTATCAAAATGATCCCGATGCCAAGTTAATTGTTCTACTTGGCGAGGTAGGTGGCACCGAGGAATATGAGGTGTGTGCTGCCCTTAAGGATGGCCGCATTACCAAACCCTTGGTTGCCTGGTGTATTGGTACCTGTGCCTCAATGTTCACATCCGAGGTACAATTTGGTCATGCTGGTTCATGTGCCAATTCGGATCGGGAAACTGCCACGGCAAAGAATAAGGCGCTGCGTGAAGCCGGTGCCTATGTACCCGATTCGTTTGATTCATTGGGTGATTTGGTGCAACAAGTCTATGCGGAATTGGTGAAATCGGGACGTATAGTGCCACGCGAAGAAGTTCCACCACCCACTGTGCCCATGGATTATGCCTGGGCTCGTGAATTGGGCTTGATTCGCAAACCGGCGAGTTTTATGACCTCCATTTGTGATGAAAGAGGACAGGAGTTGATTTATGCCGGTATGCCGATTAGTGAAGTTTTGAATAAGGATGTTGGTATTGGTGGTGTTATTTCGCTGTTGTGGTTCCAACGTTGTTTGCCACCCTACGTCTGTAAATTCTTTGAAATGTGTTTGATGGTCACGGCAGATCACGGGCCAGCTGTATCTGGTGCTCACAACACAATTGTGTGTGCTCGTGCCGGCAAGGATTTGGTGTCCTCGGTTGTCAGTGGCCTTTTGACAATTGTAAGTAAAATTTAAAAAAAGTTCAGATTCAGATCAGAAAATATATATTTTTTTTAAATCCTAAATAAAAATCTTCTTTAAACTTGTTATTAATATTCTTTATATTTTATTGTTTTTCAGGGTGATCGTTTTGGTGGTGCTCTTGATGGTGCTGCTCGCCAATTCTCCGAGGCCTATGACTCCAACTTACATCCCATGGATTTCGTAAATCAAATGCGCAAGAAGGGTCAATTGATTATGGGTATTGGACATCGTGTCAAATCCATTAACAATCCCGATGTGCGTGTCAAGATCATCAAAGAATTTGTTATGGATAACTTCCCCGCCTGCCCCTTATTGAAATATGCCTTGGAAGTCGAAAAGATTACCACCAGCAAAAAACCCAATTTGATTCTCAATGTTGATGGTGTCATTGCCACCTGTTTCGTTGATATGTTGCGGAACTGTGGATCATTTACCAGGTAATGGGGGGAATGTTTTTCGAATATTTCAGGTTTTAATAACGGAGTTTTTTTTTTTTTTTGAAATTCCAGTGAGGAAGCCCAAGAGTACATTAATATTGGCGCCATCAATTCCTTGTTTGTGCTCGGTCGCAGCATAGGTTTCATTGGCCATTACATGGATCAGAAACGTTTGAAACAAGGACTTTACCGCCATCCTTGGGATGATATCTCCTATGTGATGCCCGAACAATTTAATTAAGTTGTTTAAAAAAGATGAGTACGGATGGATGGATGGATCCTCCCCTCCTTCCCTCCAAGGCTAAAAGCATCATCAAGCATCACATTGTGCGTGAGAGCAAGAAAAAAATATGTGTTTCCTTACCCTGCTACTACTTCTTCATTCATTCTGGGAAATGTGTATATCCTCTGCATAAAACCACAACATCCAACAACCATGTCGTCGTTTTTCATTCCCTTAATTTTTGTAAACTTTCATTTTCCTTATTGTGGTCCACCACAATTTACATTATTTTTTTACATACCTACATGGCATTTATTATTACGAAAAAAAAAAAATTCACTCATAATTTTATTCGTCGTCGGTTTTTCTTTCCAATTATTTTTCTCTCTCTCTCAAATAGTTTTTAAAAAATGGTTTTCTAATATTTGCTGCTAATTGCTACTTAAATTGTTCTCAATTATGGTTATCAATTTATGTACACAATTGAATGTGTATTATATATACATGCATGTATTGATATTAAAGAGAATTTATTAATAATATATCTATTTTATTACAACTACACAAATAATATATTAATTTTTTTGTTGTGAAATGAAAGTGCATTCGAAATTTACCGAAACAATTAATTAAAAAACATTTAAATAACCATGTACTTGTTGTTGACTTGCAAAGAAAAAAAAATAATTAATAATGCACAATTGTTCAATAGATTAAAAATGAAACACACACACATGCGCGGTATATAAACAAATTATTAGGACTCTTATATATAATAATTATAACAACAAAATACTACTTACTATTATTATTATAACAACGCTAACCATCTATTTGGCTAGTAAGTTTAAGAAAATTTAATAAGAAAAATCTATAACGGAAAAGAGTATAAAATATAATTATAAACACAAAAAAACAAAAAAAAAGAATAAAATATTTATAAAAAAACAAATCGTCGTTATTATTTGATGGGGGAATAATAATAAAAATAATTTATTTATTTGTTAATAATCAGCCCAGTCACCAAAATGTGGGAGAAATTCTATTCCTACGGAAAGAATTACTCTCGAGTGAAAGATCCTCAAATCGTAGAAAATATAGGAGTAAAATTGTTGAAATATGGCATCTCTTTTTAATCAACGGTGGGTCTTTTTCTTTGTGCACCCTTATTATACTTAGAGCATATTTATAGGATGTTGCTACTTCCAGAGAGCAACAAAGAACTTCAACAAGATTGTCAATCATTGTAAGTGCATAAAAGTTAAAAATAATTGAAACATCTGATATGTATTTCCCAATAGATTCAAAAAATACTACCGGGTAAGCAAACCAGCTTTCCAATACTTGTTGGAAGTTTTGGCGCAATATGCTCCTACAAGGAAAAACAAGTCTGGAATTCCGCGTTACATTTTTTTGCTGAAGGTGGATATAAACTGGCGTTGGAAAGGATTCTAATGTTTGTATGGCACAATCAACATTTAGTTCTATCCTCTCCAAGGTGTTGACTGTTTTCGAAGCTCAACATTGTCCTAAGTCGATAAAAGTGCCAAAAAGTTCCTGTTCCTGTTTTGTATTTTAAATTCTGTGCAGCTTTTTGCCTTACATATTTTTTTGGTCAGCCCAAAACTATTTTAAGTAATTTTGAAGAATGAATAGATTATTTCATTCAAAGGAATGTGATAAATTTAGTACCAAACTTATTTCCATTCGGTGATGCCCTTATTTGGTGGTCCCGTCCGAATTGAGCTCATTTTCCGTTTTTTTTTTCCAAAACCGAGTAAGAGACTCTTTGCTCCCTTTATAGATTCCACGTGAAATGTCAGGATGTAATTCCAAAACTGACACTAAATGCTGCAATTGGGTTTTATTTGTCTTCAACCTACAAAGGATTTATTTATTTCTATTTCGATTTATATTTGAAAACCCATACTTACATTTTTTATCTCTCTTCGATTTTGTTTGTGAGATATTTTGAGAGGAAAGTGCAAATCGAACTTTCTTTTTTCTCCTTTCTCCCTTTAATTCCGCGCGGAATTTTCTTTACGATTGGGAAAAAGGAAGAATAAAGAAATTCCGCACGGAATTATTTTTGATGATTGGGCTGAATTAGTAATAATATTTAAAAAAAGAATAATAATAAGCATGCTTTTTTTAAACATTCAAAGTAAGCAAGGTAAAAATAGTCTCTAAATAATCTGCACTTCAAAAATATTCGGAACAAGTTGAGTTTAGGGGCTCATCTCCGATTTTTCTGAAATTTTTGTCATAGGTAGATCTCGTCTCCCTGATCACGAAAATATATGACTTTCATGGGGGAAGTCGATAATTCCCGAGATATGGACCTCTAAAGTTCCGAAATTCCTATGCTCATAACTTCGTTATTTATGAATCGGTGAAGGTAATATTGGTATGATTGTAAAGCGTACACATTATATTTCCACTTAAATTCGTCTTAATTAAAAATTATCCAAAATAGCCGGCCTTCGGCCGGGGTTTTAAGACTTTCTCCTATGGACAGGCGGAAAGTTCGGCTAACGCATCAACAATGTTTTTTAAACTATTTTTTTTTTTTCTAAATAGCCGACCTTCGTCCGGGGATTTAAGACTTTCTGCTATGGACAGGTGGAAAAATTGGCTACGCGATTAAAATTTCCTTTATATCAAAGTTTTTCTTATATAGCCGGCCTTCGGCCGTGGATTTAAGACTTTCTCCTATGGACAGGCGGAAAATTCGGCTAACGCATCAACAATGTTTTTAAACTAATTTTTTTCTAAATAGGCGGCCTTCGGCCGGGGATTTAAGACTTTTTGCTATGGACAGGTGGAAAAATTGGCTACGCGATTAAAATTTCCTTTATATCAAAGTTTTTCTTATATAGCCGGCCTTCGGCCGCGTAATTAAGACTTTCTCCTATGGACAGGCGGAAAATTCGGCTAACGCATCAACAATGTTTTTAAACTAATTTTTTTCTAAATAGCCGGCCTTCGGCCGTGGATTTAAGACTTTCTGCTATGGACAGGTGGAAAAATTGGCTACGCGATTAAAATTTCTTTTATATCAACGTTTTTCTTATATAGCCGGCCTTCGGCCGGGGATTTAAGACTTTCTCCTATGGACAGGCGGAAAATTCGGCTAACGCATCAACAATGTTTTTAAACTAATTTTTTTTTTCTAAATAACCGGCCTTCGGCCGGGGATTGAAGACTTTCTGCTATGGACAGGTGGAAAAATTGGCTACGCGATTAAAATTTCCTTTATATCAAAGTTTTTCTTATATAGCCGGCCTTCGGCCGCGTAATTAAGACTTTCTCCTATGGACAGGCGGAAAATTCGGCTAACGCATCAACAATGTTTTTAAACTATTTTTGTTTCTAAATAGCCGACCTTCGGCCGGGGATTTAAGACTTTCTGCTATGGACAGGTGGAAAAATTGGCTACGCGATTAAAATTTCCTTTATATCAAAGTTTTTCTTATATAGCCGGCCTTCGGCCGTGGATTTAAGACTTTCTCCTATGGACAGGCGGAAAATTCGGCTAACGCATCAACAATGTTTTTAAACTAATTTTTTTCTAAATAGGCGGCCTTCGGCCGGGGATTTAAGACTTTTTGCTATGGACAGGTGGAAAAATTGGCTACGCGATTAAAATTTCCTTTATATCAAAGTTTTTCTTATATAGCCGGCCTTCGGCCGCGTAATTAAGACTTTCTCCTATGGACAGGCGGAAAATTCGGCTAACGCATCAACAATGTTTTTAAACTAATTTTTTTCTAAATAGCCGGCCTTCGGCCGTGGATTTAAGACTTTCTGCTATGGACAGGTGGAAAAATTGGCTACGCGATTAAAATTTCTTTTATATCAACGTTTTTCTTATATAGCCGGCCTTCGGCCGGGGATTTAAGACTTTCTCCTATGGACAGGCGGAAAATTCGGCTAACGCATCAACAATGTTTTTAAACTAATTTTTTTTTTCTAAATAACCGGCCTTCGGCCGGGGATTGAAGACTTTCTGCTATGGACAGGTGGAAAAATTGGCTACGCGATTAAAATTTCCTTTATATCAAAGTTTTTCTTATATAGCCGGCCTTCGGCCGGGGATTTAAGACTTTCTCCTATGGACAGATAGAAAATGCGATCGAAATTTTCTTTTAAATAAACATGTTTCTCTAAATATCCGTCAATATTACCATTGTCGGCCTATAAATGTCCAAGTTATGAGCATATGAATTCCGGAACTTCAGAGGTCCATATCTCGGGAAATATGGGTTTCCCCCATGAATGTCATATATTTTCGTGATCAGGGAGACGAGATCTACCTGTGGTAAAAATTTCAGAAAAATCGGAGATGAGCCCCTAAACTCAACGTTCCTTTTTTAAACAAATAAATAAATAATCGTCAATTTTTTTGTACGTCCAATAGGGTTATGTAGATCGACGTTTTATTTGTCAAAAGGAAACGATAAACGAGAAATCGATTTGTTGTTCGATATTTGTATATGAACTATTGGTCTGTTCCCGTAATGCAGGAATCTACAATAGAATAGAAAATAGGTCCACACATAGATTGTAACAGTCTGATTTTTTTGAGTGTTCAATTTTTTTAAATTTTGTTTATGTTACCGGTCTGGGATGCTTGAATGGTATTAGGAAGGCTGAGCTCGTCGGATTGGGGGAGTTCTTTCCACACCAGTAACTATTAACTGTTCAAAGAGAAATATATTGTAACCATTTCAAGACTTACAGCCTGTTTTTGTAAAATTCCAAACGAACGAATTCGAGTGACTTACGACTAAACTCCTTGGTTTTGAAAAATATGTCATTTATTTTCGTTTTGATTCGGAAAACATTTACAAACATAAATAAAGGTTTGGTCGTAAGTCACTCGAATTCGTTCGTTTGGAATTTTACAAAAACAGGCTGTTAAATTTTATGCTTACTTAACACAATTTTAGAATCAGTCGTAACTGTACGAGTGGTGTTTTCTCGTAGGGACACCTCATATATTAAATTCTCCCACCCACTGCAAAGCATAAGTAACTAGTGTCCATGATTCTCATTTTTAGTTACTTCCCTAATAAAATACGAGACCCTACTATACCGTTAAGTTATCGCCATCAACAGTTCCAATAAGTAGTTAATTATTCCATGTTAACCAATTTATAATTCATTTATTAAAAAAAAAATTAAATTCCTTACGAAATATAGATATAAGCATATGGCTTAAATCGAATACACTTTTAAGAGTGTCATAATTTAACATTAATAATTTTAAATTTATGAACAATAGAAGTATTAATTATCATGAACAAAAATTAATATAATTTATATAATCTGCATGTTAATTGCTTACTTACTCAACTGATACGAAGTTGGATTAAATGCTGGAATAATCTTTACAGGTTATGTAACCTTTTTGTTGACAAAAAAACTGCCGCTGGATCGAGCTCAATACATGCGGGACGTGCTATTTCTGAAAATATAAACATAACCTAAAAGCATACCTAATTCAATCTCCTTTTTGTATATATATTTAATATGATGTAGGCAAAAATGTTCTTTGTGTTAAAAGAATATTTAATCACGGTGGAAGCCGTGCATAATAAAGAATTTACTACGATAAAATCAAACATGCAAGTTATAAAAAAAAATATTTTACAATTTCAGTATTTAATTACTTATTAGGTAAGAATTCAATCAAAATTATAAAGAAATTATTAAAATGGAACATTTTACAAGTTGAAATTTCGAAAGAAATTAAGCAATAATTTAATTATGACCAGAATGGTTATATCTTAAAATGTTTTGAACATATTTAAAAATTTAGTTGTCTTTTTATAAACAATTTTCTTGATTTAATATATCTGGCGGAGACAGCTTTTGGGTTATCAATCAGATTATCATCGTTAAGCTGTACCTTTCAACCACATTTTCTACCTCTTTTTTTAGCACCATACATTTGCCAGCAGATATCGAAAAATCAAGTGGATGTTTGTAAGTACGTTGAATACAGGAAAAGGCAGGAAAATTGTATGTCTCCAAACTGGAAAATTGTCTGATCCAACCGTTTTTTCCCCACTAGGAAAATTCTATTAGTTTTCCTACTCTCTCGGTTTTCCAATTCCGGGTTTCCGTGGTTTAATTTTACGGTAATTATCTTTTTCACTCCTCATTTGATTACTTTATTTCATTATCAATTTAAGATTTTTGTGTTTTTTTTTAAGTTTATCAGAGATATTTGAGTTTCTTAATTGTACGACAATGTAATTTTTTTTTTTTTTTGTGATAAAGTCAGATTTCTTTAGAGAACAGAATAACTGGTGTTGTCGACGGTCTGAATAGAAGAGAGCTATCGGTTTTTTTAACTTTCAGCATTACCCTTAGCAACAGACAGAAGCTAATTATTGTTTCAATTAATTTTGTAGTTTAGCTTTTTTTTGAAACAATATATATGAAGCGGTATTCTTGCATTTACCAAAAACTTTTCTCACTACATTGAGTAAATTGGAGACTGCACCATTTGAGGCTACCGCGGCATTATAACAGTTCGTTCTCTACTTGTTATAATAAGGGGATCACAAAAGAGGAGAACATGACATACGTTTATAGCAAAGAGCAATAAAAAATGTTGGCTCTCTAACTGCTCGCTTTGGAATTGTTATACTGACGGGGAATAACCGAAAGGGGAGAATACAGAGTTAAACCGTTCTTTGCAAAGTAATATTCCAGAGCTGTCCTACCCTTGGGTTAATTCTCAAAAATCTGCTACAAGATATAGCTCCCATATATAGTTTCGCCCGATTTTAGGTTAATGGTGCACCAAAGTCCATGAAAATTATTTGACTTGCACGAATTTTGGCACTTTGGTGCACCATTTACCTAAAATCGGGCGGAACTATATATGGGAGCTATATCTAAATCTGAACCGATTTTCACGAAACTTAGCACATATTATTCTAGACCTAATTCAGTAGGCTATACCAAATTTCGTGCAAATCGAAAGATATATAGAGACTTTGGTACACCATTTACCTTAAATCGGGCGAAACTATATATGGGAGCTATATCTATGTGTGGACCTATTTTCTCCAATTTCAATAGGGTTCGTCCTTGGGCCAAATAAATGACATATGCCAAATTTCATCCAAATCGGATCATAAATGCGAGCTGTACTTTGTTCACAAAAATACATGGACGGACGGACAGACGGACATGCATAAATCGACTCAGAAAGTGATTCTACGCATATTCTCAAAAGAAACCATGCGTCTATCTCTATTATTTTTGCCTGTTACAAACATATGCACAAAGACATAATTCCCTGTACCACAGTGTGGTGAAGGGTATAAAAATGTCATAACAATTCCAGAGAAACCATCAATAAATTGGTCTGTTCCCGTACTGCAAGAATCTACGAGTTTTTACTATTTTTTCCGATATCATAAAGGAAAAAAGTGTTATCGTAGTAAAAAATTGTAGATTCTTGCATTACGGGAACAGACCAATAGTTCATATACAAATATCGAACAACAAATCGATTTCTCGTTTATCGTTTCCTTTTGACAAATAAAACGTCGATCTACATAACCCTATTGGACGTACAAAAAAATTGACGATTATTTATTTATTTGTTTAAAAAAGGAACCATTATGCAAAAACATTTGCTAATTGTCGCCTACATATTGATATAACGCCAAGCAACAACACAATTTTACGTACAAAAGTACTAGACAACAAAAAGGAAACGACGGGTAAACAAGACTGCAGAATTCCTCATCCTCTAATGAATATCACAGCAAGAAGACCAACGCAACGAGGACGGAATCACAGCAGCAAGCAGAAGATAATAGAAGAAGAACAAATCGCAAAAAGGAAGAACAAAAACATAATTATCATCGGTATCATCATTAACAGCAGAATCGGCAGCAGCAGCAGCGGTGATTCTACGCTTGTCAACGTTAGAAGAGGAGTACAAATCGTAATCATCATTATCCCCGTCCGCATCATAATCATCCTGTTGGGCATTGCAGACGAAGTATGGTTGGATGTGTGTTGTGTTGTGAGTTTTTATTATTTTGAAATAAAAAGGAGCAGCCACAGCAGCAGACGACGAGAAGGAGAAAAACAACGCAAAAGGCATCATCATCGTCTACTTCAAAGGTGGAGTAGCCACAGCAGCAGGCATTTTGAAATAGAAATTTTGCCTTTTGGAATTTGGTGTTTATAAATAAATAAAAACACCATAGCAGCAGGAAAGGGCAAAAAAGAAGAACCCCACAATAATATCGTCGATCAACCAAAATATAATTCAAAATACAAACACACACAAAGACAAACGACATACGGCGACATGTTTTCTTATCAACGCTTGTGGTTATCAATGCTAGTTTTAGCTTTTCTTACAACTACATTGTGTGGTTTCGCCGACGTCGTCGCCGCCAGTGAAGTGGATATTTCAATTTCGGAAAATAGCAACACCGCTGCTAATTTAAAACATGATGATGGCCATCACTTGGAGACACAATCAGCAGCAGCAACAGCCACACTTCAAGATATAACAGATACCGGTGGTGGTGGTGGTAGTGGCAGTGTAATGGGCATTCCCGATAGCGGTGATCTAAATGCAGAATTATTAAATCGTTTACGTTTCATACCATCACAATTGGATTTTGGTGAATTGTCTGTGGGAACAGTACAATCGCATACCGTCACTCTCGTCAATCAAAATCGTAATCACAGTGTTTATCTTAGTTTGGTAACGGGCGGAACTCCGTCATTTTATAGTAGCTTATTTGAAGCTAAAACTGTGCCACCGAATGGTAATACAACATTTGATGTGGTCTTTTTACCCAGGGAAAATGGTGCTGTTCGATCAAATTTATTCCTGCACACATCGTTTGGAAAGCTCTTGCTAATGGTGAGCGGCGAGGTACGTGAATGTCCGTATCGGCTAAAACCATTGGTTGGCATACGGGCACCTTTAAATGCCACCTTAATGCCCATGATACACATGTATAATCCACATGAAAGAGCATTGCAAATATTGGAGGTAAGTTGAAATATTCGTATCGATGTTTTTTTGTTTTTTGTCTAAAATTGAATTTAATTAAAAAAAAAAAAAATCCGAGCACCGAAATATTTTCCGGACATCTTTCCGTTCATTTAAAATATTCAAAAATATGAGTGTTTTTTCCGTACATCTAAAAACAAATGAAAATGCGTGGGAAAACGTTTTCAAAATACCGAATAAGTGGAAATGGGGTACAATTGTATTGCAGCTTCCCTGAAGCTTTTGCAAATATTGATCATTTTTGGTAGGTAGATTTTTTACTCAATTAGAATTCAAAATATAAAATTATAGCAAAATGAACTGTGAAGACGCACAGAATTATATCGCCATTTTAAGTCATATTTTCAAAATTTAGATTTTATCATGACCACAAAATAGGAGGAGAATTTCCATTTAAATCGTATGATTGGAATACAATGGCCCCAGTTGATACCGACGTGACACAGTGGAGGTGAATAAAACCCAAATATTTGAAGTGAAAATTTCAAATCCTTCAGATAAACCGATACTGATCGATTATTCATTGGCCGATCCAAAATTGGCGCATCAAACACAATTCACCCTGCCACTGGAGGTGATTTAACCGATAAGGCAGTGTTTTCGTTGGTCAACCCAGGGCCCAGTAAACCGATTTTTATATCCGGTCTCACCTCCAGACGAGTGCCGATAACACTTAAAGCCTCCTCGGTGGGTAGCTATTGTACCATAATGCAATGCCTTGTCATCACTCCATCTATAGAATCCGTTGGTTTCACAAGTGATTTGAGCGTATAAAAGAGTTTTTTGTTTTAATCATTGCATTATTTATCCAAATATTGCATATTCATGTGTGTGTCCCCTTTTCATCTCCTATCCTCTCCTCTGTTTCGATTTCATTTACTTTTGAATTTACTTATCAACTTTGTTATCTATTTGATAACCAAACTACCTACTAAAATAAAATAAAAAAGTAAATAAATAAATACCTAATTGTTGAGATTTGTACATATATAAATTTGAATGTTTGTGATAATAAAAAAACCCGGGAACGTTGTCATCACTCTTCAGAAAATTAAGACACGTTTCCAGATCTTTTAAATGCAAATGCATGTACTAAAAGCGAGTGAACACAGGCAATAATTAACAATTATAGCTGTGGTGAAAATTTAAATAAACAAATGTTCGTTGTTTATTGAGATATTTATAGATGACGACTCCAATGGCCCACTCCTCCCTCTTTCCCATTGCAATGAATATCTAAATAAAAAAATAATATAAATAATTATACCAAACTTTTATTTCGAAGGGGACACAACAGCATTTCTTTGAGATGATCACATTATGAGTAATAATTTGATGTTTAATTTTTTTGTTTATTTATTGAAACAAATTGAACATAATATTTTTTGAATGCCTATAGATGAAATGGATGGTGCCAACATACAACGGCTCCCCTCAATATTTAGTATATTGGGCACTTTTTCCAACGAATTGGCTTTAGTTTACACATGGTCTACATTTTGGTATAGCCTTCATACAAAGGTACCCCGTTATTCGGTACCTTGGTCACGTTTTTTTGCCGTATTGGCTATAATTTATTATGTTTGATTCTCATTCGATATTAAATCTTCCTAACAAAAAATAACAATATCGGCCCATAAAGGGCCCTGGCTATATTTTTTACTTGTTCTATAAAATTTTTCTATTTAATAATTCCTTAATCATCTTTCCTCCTCGTTTTCAGATTTACAGCAGTGGTGGAAAATTTAAATTAGAATTACCAAGCGGAGACTCCGAAGGACCACACGGTCTATGGGAGATACCACCATATAGTACGAAACCCATTATAGGTATACGTTTTCAGGGTTATACTGCGGGCAAACATTCAGCCTATATACGTATAAAAATTGCCGAACCCACCTCCCAAAGTGACTGCAGCAGCAGTCAATCCACATCGTCCACAATCTCCCCCGCTTTAAAAGAACAAATCTTGGTTATACCAGTGGAATTTGTAATATTATCCGAATATGGTATATATGCTGTTAATCCGGTCATCGATTTTGGTTATATTGCCTTGGACGACAAACAACAGCAACCAATTAAACAAAAACTTTACCTACGGCATTCCAAACATCAATTGGATATACAAAATTTGGAATTTGAATCTCTTACGCTAACCAAGGGTATTATGATGGCCTCAAAAAATGGCCAAGATAACGACAGCAGCAGTGAAAAAAGAAATATTGATATTTCCACAATTGCCTTCGATCCAAATATTGCGATACAGGATGAACCAGTAACACATCTGAATGAAAAATTAAAATTAGTCTTGAAACAAAGAACAAAAACAGCAGCAGCGTCGTCTTCGGCGACGTCGGGGCATACATATCACAATGTGGAACTTATAGTACGGGCTAATGTCTACAAGGGTTCATTGTATTATGACAGAAAATCAACATTATTTTTGGATCGTGAACTAAGGTGGAATAGTAGTAGTTCGCAAAGATGCGATAATGCCACATCGGATGAGGCATTATCTCATTTAAAATGTACAAATTTGGGTGAGCCCCGACACATAGTGCTGCGTAATGATTATCAAATTCCTTTATTAATTTACAATATAACAACTGGGTTCAATGAAAGCTCCAAGCTAAATTTATACCTGCAGCAGAACCCCCTACTGCAAAAGGGAGAAAGTGAAAGTGATGCAGTGGTGGTATTGCAACCCGCAGATACCATGGAATTAACTGTGGCCTTTAGATTGGCCACAACAACACAACAAAACCCCGTAGAACAACCAGAGGAAGATCTCAAAGATCTACTGAGAAATTATAAGACTGCCATTTATGTTTATACGAATATATCGAATCCAATCCAAATACCCATTGTTGTAAGCTCTACAAGTTTGTTTGTAACCACACAGACGTCGTCATTATGGCGCTCAAAAAATTCCGTTTATACCAAAGAAATACAAATAATTTCCTCCGCACCCCTTCGTGATATTTCTCACAAAGGTTATATCGTTTTGCAAAATCGTAATTCAATACCCATTAATCTGAATAATTGGGATTTTCAAAAGACATCGGGTATTTATTATGCGGTTAAATTTGCCGGGTCTATTCGAGCCATGGATATTAATGAAAGCAATGATTATGCAATAGACTTGGAGAAACATAGTTATCGTTTGGATTCCGTATTGGAGGAAGGTGATGTGGCAGTGTTTGAGGTGGCTTTGATGCCATATTCCATATCGGGTACAGCCTATTTGAGTATAGCCACATCGTATGAGAATATTACGGTGACGTTAAATTTTGATGTGGTCTTTGGTAAACTAGAAGTGGATCAGGAGAAATTACATTTTGCCAATTGTTTTCCGGTGAGTCAAACATAGATAATTATTTAATTCATTCATTCATTATTTTATTGTTGTTACTCTCTTTTTAGGGTAAAATCTGTTCCTCCGAACTGAGTATACGATCCAGCTTCGATCAGGCCATACATATGAAACATATTAACTTCAGTGATCCCGGTCTAAGATTTGTGGATAGAAGTTCAAAGGGTTCGATCATTTCACCTAATTCTGTTACAACTGTGGGTCGCATATATTTTGAACCTTCAGCATTGTGTGGCAATCGGTGTTACATACCACAGCATACAGATGAATCCACTACCTTTCCCCACAGTCCCCAGGTGGATAAAATTCTCAATATGCCACATTTCGATGAAGTTGAACTGCGAAGGCGCACAGAATTATATCGCCATTTTAAGTCATATTTTCAAAATTTAGATTTTATCATGACCACTAAGCAGGAGGAAAATTTTCATCTAAATCTTATGATTGAAATACAATGGCCCCAGTTGATACCAACGCGACAAGTTATACCCACAGTGGAGGTGAATAAAACCCAGGTATTTGAAGTGAAAATTTCAAATCCTTCAGATAAACCGATACTGATTGATTATTCATTGGCCGATCCAAAATTGGCACATCAAACTCAATTCACCCTGCCACTGGAGGTGATCATAATAACGCCGACTTGTTATTTAACCGATAAGGCAGTGTTTTCCCTGGTCAATCCGGCGCCCAGTAAACCGATTTTGATACCCGGTCTCACCTCCATACGAGTGCCGATAACATTTAAAGCCTCCTCGATGGGTAGCTATTGTACCCTGTTGCATATACGCAATAATTTAACGCTCTACGAAGGTACATGGATCAGTGCCAAGGCTGTGCAATCACATTTTCGTTTGGGGAATCGTAAACCGGGATCACCCACACCATTGCTGTTTGAGATCACTGAGCAGCAGTTAACGGCGGCATGTCCAAGTAAAGAGGATAAACCTTCGGCCGGGATGACACATCCTCAGGTATTAGAATTATTTTAGTAGATTTTTTGTTATCGCCACAACCTCAAAAACTTTCTCTTTTTCAGATTATTTCAAGACGAGTTTTTACCGCTCGCAATTCTGGCGAACTACCAATATGGATTGATAGCATTTGGATTGGTGATCAACCCTGTCGTGGCTATGGTTTTCAAATAATGGACTGTAAAAGTTTTGAACTCAAGGCGAATTCAACGAAAACAATTGAAATTCAATTTCAAACAGATTTCACAGCGACCCGCATTACAAAACCCCTTACACTGAGGACAAATCTTACGTATGCAGTAAATTATGTGTTAGTCGCCCAACTGCCTTCCAAAGGCCTGGAACAGTGTACATCCTTATTGCCGCGACCACCATGGGAAGAGAAAATACGCAATGCCACCATAATTATGTTAATAATAACTTTCGTTCTGGTCCTCATTGCCGTCCACATAGACTATGGCAATATAATGTATACCCAGGCAACGTTATATGGAGCCCGGGAAAAGGGGACAATACATCCAACATTTAATTTAAGAAACATAGCCATGCGACAGAACAATAATGAAAGTTCCCCGACCGGCGATGTGGAGATGACATTGAAAAATAAAAGTGGTTTGAAGAAGAGGAATAACGTGGGTGGCGGCAAGAATCAAAGAATGGCAAATGGCGAGGCGATTGTGTCATCATCCTCCTCGTCGTCTAGTTCTTTTTCTGCCTTACCCAACATGACGCTGGCCGAAATGGTTAGCTGGACTTTTGGAAGCAAAACCTCTAGAAAAGCAAATAAATTGAATAAAAACAAGGAAGCTACGGTGGCCACACCGACGCCCTCAGCGTCCTCCAACGTGACAACAACAACAAATTCCTCCCCAGCTTCGAATGATGTAAAAAATTGTAAAAATAAATTAACCGAAAAATCATTGGTGGAAAAAATGGATGAGGATTTGAAAAAGGCACAGCCGACAGTCTCCGTCAAGAAACCCACAAAGGTAACAGAAAAAATTGCTAGCAAGCCCCGCGACGAAGAAGTCAAACAGTCCAAAGAAGATGTACCCCCCACGAACAAGGAGGTGAAAAAAGAAAATAAAGCCTTAACAAAAAATACCACAAATAAAAACACATCTAGTCCCGAACCTATGCCTTCAAAAGAACAAAGAAGATCTTTGGATTCTACCAGTTCCAATACAACACACAGTGATCCATCGACAATGCGTCAAGTTAAAACACCTCCTCCCGTTAGTATACCATCCTCAGGGCCTACAGTGAATACGAACAAAGTGAGCCCCACGACCACCACCAGCCATGTGATGCCAATGACCGAAATAACCAATCATCAAACACCAATTTCCAAGGAAACCACAAATGGTCGCAAGCTGGGCAAGACACCAGGACGTGAACGGCGAAAGCAAACCACACAAAATACCTCACCCACAACATCGTCTTGTTCGTCGGCCTCTACGTCGTCTACATCCTCCAGTTCCATACCACAACACCAACAGCCGCAGCAGCAACACAATACAGCTAAACGTTTCGAACGTAAACCCAAAAGCAGGGTCTCGAATTCTCTTAAATTTCCCACACAAAACTTTAGTCATGCGAATTCTGTCTACTCACAAATGGCAGCAGCGGCCAACGATCACAATGATCAAACATTTCATCAGGATGTGTTATCGCCTTGGGACTATAGCAGCCACATAACATTTAGCGATGTTCTGCAACAGACCCAACAATTTGCCAATGCCCAATCCAATGCTAATGCCAACTCGACAGGAACCACATTGCTCAATAGTGATTTAAAGATGTTCGATAACCCCACTTCAACTGCATCCCCCACACCGTCAACAGCATCATCCGGGCCAATTAATTTGCCATTTGCCGCCTCCCCACTTGAGTTTAACGATGGACCTTCTAAGACGGATTTGGGCCCCATTGGTTCCAGGAAATCACCCTCCTCAACTCCCGCCTGGGAGACATTGAACAGTGCCATAACTTTACAATTACCGCGGCCATTGAATACAACCCTGACAACTACTTCACAACCACCACCACCACCCAGCCTACCCTATGATTTGCACAGTTGCCCCAATTATGGTTTGAATGATTTGTTGACAGCTCGCCAAACGATACAACAAATTGCTGCAGCCAATGCTGCCGCAAAGCATCAGCAACAACAACAACAGCAGCAGCAACAACATGATTTTGATATAGCTGCCAAATTGAGAGCTATCAAGGCACATGAAATCATGAGACTACAACAATTGGAACAGCAATTCCTATTGCAACAACAACAACAGCAGCTGCAGCAACAACAACACTATTTGAATTTCAATCAATCGGCATTGAACAACAACTGGTCGTCGGCCAACACCGCAACATCGTCTTCAGGTTGGACCCCGTTTTTGGGTAATGGTGTTGCAGATTTATCACCAACCCTACCCAGCCATTCGAATGCTGATATTTTTGGCGGCGCCGTTACATCCACCTCTACATGGAGTACAACACCAGCATCCAGCAGCATTGAACAACATTTTGTCAATAGTCAACAATTTCCCATGAATACCGATGTTCCGATTACCAACACACACAATGGCGGCGTGTCAACTTCGATTTCGGCCCCAACATCCACTTCAACAGCAACAACAATTTTTGATAATACCGTCAACAACAACAACAGTAATGGAATTGGCTTAAATGTCAATAATTCCGATACAATGCCAATGTTCAATTTATTCGGTGGTTTAAGTTCTATCTGGAATGATAATTGGAAACAACAGCAACAACAAGAACAGAAGCCAAAACCTTCTGAATAAAATGAAATAATGGCACAACGGCATATAGTCATTATTCAGCTAAGGTAAGTAATGTTCAAATATTGATGATACGACGGAGGTCACATGACTAATCTGAATATATAGAAAAGAGCTTAGAGATAAGTGAGTGACCGGTAAATCATCGCCCAGACGAAATGGTTAAAGCTAGAAGATAGACATTTTGGAGGGTTTTTTTATTGGTTTTTGGGTTTGAGGGTTTTTATTGGTGTGTAGGCGTGAGATAAGGTTGGGTTTTTAGAAAGTCGAACTAGAAGGGTACAAAAAGTACTAAATGTGCTACCCCCTTGTATTAGGCATTCTGAAATTTGGAATTTGGGTCACTGATGGAATGTTAGAAAGATGTACAAAAGGGTTTTTGGAAATTCCACCTATAATTGGGAATTAAAATTGCTTATGAGTACGAAAAGTACTAAATTTAGTACAATTTGAAATCTGGGTGAACGGATGGAGCTGAAAACCTGAAATTTGGAATTAAGATTATTTTTCTAGAGTAGGATTGATTCGTACCTTTGGGCACGAAAAGTGCTAAACGGTACAAAATATGGTACAATTTGGATTTGTGTGAACGGATAGGGCTGAGATTCTGAAATTTACAATTTTATAATTACTGTTGTAGTGCAGGACTGATATATGGAGGTAGTTTTGAAAATTCGTAATTATGTTACTAAATGGTACATAATTTGGTACAATTTAGATTTGAGCTAACGCGGATAGAGATCGAAAACTTATATTTTTGGAATTCATATTATTGTTAGATTACATGATTGAGGTACTGTTGGAAATTCGAAATTGAAAGTACGAAAAGTACTAAATTTAGTACAATTTGGATCTATGTGAAATAGTTTTTGGAAATTCGATCTATAATTGGGAATTAAAATGACTGTTGTAGTGTAGTTTAGGGAATTCGTACTTATGAGTATGAAAAGTACTAAATGGTACTAAATTTAGTACAATTTGGATTTGGGGTTGAACGGATAGAGTCGAAAACCTAAAATTTGGTATTAAGATTATTTTTGAAGAGTGGGATTGATTCGTTCTTTTGGGCAGGAAAAGTGCCAAAATTGTACAAAATATGGTACAATTTGGATTTGTGTGAACGGATAGGGCTGAAATTCTGAAATTTAGAAAAAAAAATTTGAAAAATTTTAATTATGTTACTAAATTTAGTACGATTTAGATTTGAGAGAACGGGTAGAAATGGAATCCTGAAAGTTGCATCTAAGATTACCGTCGGAGTGTCGGATTGAGATAGTATTGCAATATGGGTACGAAAAGTACAGAATAAAACCAAATCTGGTACAATTTAGATTTTTGTGAACCGATAGAGTTGGAATTCTTAAATTTGACTTACGATTAATATTTGAAAGCAGGATTGAAGTAGTAAAAATAGGAAATTCGTACTTATGAGCACACGAAAATTAGTAAATGGTACTAAATGTGGTACAATTTTGAAGAGTTAAAAGGAATCAAATGGGGTTTAGGTACTAATTGGTACTAAATTTAATGAAATTAAAACTACGATTGATATATGGTGGTAGTCAATAACAAGTCCCAAAGAAGTTAGGAAATATATATTTAAAATGTAATCCCATTCGCTCTTCAAGTTAATTTTTATTAATAACAAAAGAAATTCTAGACAAACCTTGTTAATAATTTCCTAAGAGAGCATAATGTGTAAACCCAGACTTGATAATTTCCGCATAATTTGTTCATAGAAAGTTCGAATTTATTAATTCCATTATTTTCATAATTTGTTTTATTTATTTTTTCTATTTACAGCTATGTCCGCTAGCTAACCGCCATATTTGCCACCACGCACACGCACACATAACTTTGAAATCCCCCGAAAAAAATTTCTGTCTTCTACAACTAAACAAACCAGGAAATGTTGTTGCTTTTCTATTTCTAACAACAAAATCATGTATGTATGCAAGCAAGTTGTTGCCAACAAAATTCAACCAAGGATAATGGTACAGCAGCTGCAGCAGCCCTCCCATGTTTTAAAATCTTAACCTTCTCTCATTAATACAGAGAAAACTAACTTGACATTTTCCAAAAAGAATTGTTTTTTTATTCTTTCATTTGCCAAATTTTTTTTGTTAATTAATTTTAAAATTGTTTAGTTGTTTCTTTTCTCTATTTTTTTTTTAGATTTTTTACATTATAACAATCCTTGGGATTTTCTAAAAAGAATAAGGATTTAAAAATTAAATTTGTTTTCAAAAAAAGAAATTGTTTTTCGCCTACCCTACTCCCTAATATAAATGAAGATGAAATACCAAAAAATAAAAGCCAATAAAAATAACAATTTATATAAACGAGATATATAATTTTTAAGTAATTTAACAACAAATGTTTAATAACTTCCCAAAACACATTTAATCCAACTCCCAAACTTAACTAATCTCTGAATGATTTAATTTTTGTTTTTTTATTAAAAGAAATAGTTTTTTTATTTACAGATTTTTTTTCTTGTTTCTCTTTCTTTTTTTTTTGTTTCATTACAAAAAAATGCCACCATAATGGTGTGGTGCATACACACAGAACAAATGATAATAAAATAATATATGAAGAACAAAAATGAAAAAAATACTCAAATGGATAATTTAAATAATAACACATGGAAGAAAATAAAAAAAAATATTTTAAATGGATTTTTTTCAATTTAATGAAAAAATATTATATAAAATGTTTGAAAGGCAAGTAAACAAATATCAGTCGGTGTTCCCTGCCTATGTTTGCGAAGATCAACGAAATTACACACAGTCTTTATTATTCGCCTTATATATGTTTTTTTTATCAAAAAGTTGACGGACATTTTTAAATCGACTACAAATTGTCTGACCCAAAGAAACATGGCGTCTAAAACCAATGTCAATCAATCCTTTAATAGTCTTCTATTAGCACTTAAACCAAATTCTTTAATAGTCCTCCATAAAATGCAGTTATTCTGGCATTTTTAGTTATGTAAAAAAATCCAACCCTCAAATAATTGTTTCTTGTATTTTATTGAAACACACGAAAACTACATCTCTCCTCCTATCCAACGGTGAAAGTTTCATTCAAATATCTCAATTATTCGCCGAGTTATGGCCATTTAAAGATGACCCTGTGTCAAAATATAGCTGCTACACGATTCTGTCTGCCTATTACCGCAAATGACAAAAGTGATGTATTTGAAACTCCACAAAAACCAAAAAGAAATTTTAACGCCTAAAAGTATGCTCATAATTTCGCCAACTAGCATGATAACACAAAGCGAACAATCTGGTAACACCTGCAGCATATTTCTGTTTTATGCAGTTGCAATAACTTCAATTTTCGCATTTGCGGTAATAGGCAAACAGAATCGTGTAGCAGCTATATTTTGACCCATGGTCAACTTTAAATGGCCATAACTCGACAATGAATGGAGATATTTGAATGAAACTTTCACCATTGGATAGGGGGAAAAGTTTAGTTTTTATGTGTATCGGGAAAAAATACAAAAATAAATATTTTAGTGCTTATTTTTTTTTAATTTTAACGAAAAATGCCAGAATAACTGCATTTTACGGCAGAGTTTTAAAGGATTTTTTTAACGACTGATAGAGGACTATTAAAGCATTGATTTTTTATCAATCCTACTCTTCTAAAGATGCTCAACTCTTTGAAAAATATAAACATATACAGAGAATAATAAAACTTGTTTTTTGTCGTTTCAATAACTTTTTTTGAATTTTTCAAAATGTTGCAAAACAAATGAAACAATTTCAAATTTATTTTTTTCAAAATTTTGTTCTTTATTGTTTAGTTATGTGTTTTCATTGTTTTTATTTTTGTTTTATTCTTCTAACATTTTTCCAGCTGAAATATTTACAAAAATGAAATATAATTTTTTATTTTTCAACCGGAGAATTATAACTATTTAAATATGAATAAAAAAGAAGAAGCAAACATGCGTACAAAAAAAAAAACCTATAAAAGGTTAACAAATATCTGTGGAGTTTTTTTTTTGCTTCCGTATCCGTTTTTTTGTGGGGGCTTTTAAAAAATATCAACAATAATTGCTCGAACGCTGGGAACGTTTTGTGCAGCTTATTTATCTTTGTAGGTTATAATACCTTTTTCTATTAAATCGGGAACTTCAACAGCCAACCAGGGAGCCAACTGGAAAAGAAATAGAAAAAAAATACAAGTTTAGAATTTAATTTTAATATTTAGTATTTTTTATTAGTATTTAATTTATTATCATTTTATTATATATATATAAATTAAAATATGGACCATTTTTTGTGAAACGTCTGACACCCGATTTGCTTACATATTACAAAATCTGAAGATCTTTTAGTACAGAGTTTTTACTGAGGTCATAATAAAATAATATCTATAATACCTCAGGAAAAATATTGAACAAGTAAGGAAAATATCAAAGACGGTTGGAGCCGATTTCTTGTTTCCCAATTAGCTTGAAATCGGACGAAAGCATTTATGAAGCTATATTTTAAATCTGAACCAATTTGGTCCAAATTTAAAACATGATATTTAGGCTGTGGAAAATTTCAGCTCAATTGAATAAACGTTGGGTATATATTTGGTGCAAATTTTGCATATCGGGCAAAAATATATATGGGAGCTATATCTAAATCTGAACCGACTTGGATAGACTGACGGACGAAAGAGAGGACAAAATTGAGGCCTTCAGGGTACACTTCGACCTTTTGAGAAATCTTAAATTTAAGTGTAACAAGTGAAAAAGTGTTAAGAAGCTCGGCCGGGCCGTACTTTGGATACCCTCCACCATAGGTATACTACCTGAAATGAAAATATAGGGAAAATACCAAAAAGTGAACCTATACCGATAATTCTACAAAACAATTTCAGCAATGGGGATTTTTCCTAAAATCTGAAAACCCCAAAGCGTGGACTGATACTAATAACGTATGGTAGAGTAAAAATCCTCAAACTACTGCAATTTCGATTGCATATGAGGCTGTGTCTAAAGGGGGACCATATTGATTACGTAGTGTAGGAATTAGCGAATATTAGGGGTTATCATTATATGAGGGCTATGCCTAATTAATGACTGATATATGTCAATTTCGAACCCAATATTTTAGTTATGTATCTCAATTCTTCCCTTCAGGAATTTTCAATATATTGAGTAGTGCCTGCCGATATACATGAAATACAAATTTCAAAAATTTATGTGGATGTTTTTCCTAAAAAGCCCAAAAAGTGGACTGATATTGACGACGCATGGCAGGATGGAACATCCCCAAAATACTGCAATTTAGAGGTTCCAGTATTATAAGGCCATCACCAGAGGTTTTATATAGTTCATTCTCAAACCTTATGTTCTACTATTTTACAAGTCTTTTAAGATGGAGGTTTGTTACCATATACGACTACAAAAACCAAATTACAAAGAATTTGGTTGAAAAACGTGCTCAAGAACCTAAAAGTACCGAAACTTTGGGGGGTACCCTTATATGGGAGCTATGCCAAAACGTGGACCGATATAGCCCATCTTCGAACTTGACCTGCCTGCGGACAAAAGACGACTATGCAAAATTTTGGCGATTTATCCCAATTCGTTTAGACGCTAGAGTGATTACAACAGACGAACATGCTTAAATCGTCATAGAATTTTACAATGATCAAGAATATATATACTTTATAGGGTCGGAAATGATTAATTCGATGCGTTACAAACGGAAAAACAAAACTAATATACCCTCTATACTATGGTGGGGGGTGTAAAAATCCTTGTTATAATCATAACTTTTTATATCTAAAAAATCTTTCTTGAATAATCAAGATTAGCGCCGTTATGCATTCTACATTACAAGGAATTTTGAAATAACATACACTTTTCTAAATTTTTGTTTTAGGAAGTTAATCGAAGTTTGCACCAATTGACCCAGAAATTGATTCTAAGTATATTCTATCCTTTCCTTTTGTATGTTATACACATACTAATTTTTTGTAATGGTACAAATGACTTCCTATTGTAGCAATTTCAGACTTTTCTAAAAAGTTGCCTTAAAGAAAATATAAGTATTCGTTAGTAGCAACATGTTCTATTTTGTAGATTTGGTCTCAACATTTTTTTGCAGCCACACTTTTCATTGAACTTACCCCCAATGCCATTGCATGTGCAATACCAAATTTCGGTACATTACGTGCCCACAGAGGTTTAAAATGATCCGTTAAGCAGATTTTGCCACCACGATACATTTTCGCCGTTTTACCATCCAATTCGGGTAGGGCTATTTCGGGAGCGGTGACAGGATACGTTACCGGAATCTAAAGGGGACAACATTTATTAAGATTATTAAACAAAAACCAAATAACACATAAATCCATTACTCACATCGAATTCCACATCAAATTCATATTTCAAGAGATTATGCATGTACCAACATTTGCCAAACCATTTGGTACCCTCTTTGTTCGATTCCAAGTGGAACCAATCGGAGCCGTTTTCTTTGTTATTTTGGACATACTAAAATAAATATAAAGAGAAAAAGTGTTTTTTGTTAATAGTAATGTTGGAAACATTTGGATTGATATAATTTTTGTATATTTTTGAACCTTAATTAAAGCCAAATATTCTTCCTTCAGACGTTGTACCCATATGTCTTTGTCACGGGGTCCGGCACGGGTTTGTAGCAGCGGTATACTGCTCAAAGTCTTTTTGGTGCATTCATCTACCATTTTGTCTTAATTTTTTATTGATTTAAATAAAATTGTATTTATTTTATTTGTTAATTGTTTATTTATTTAAGAAATTACAAGGCTCCTGTTCAAATGGCTGAGAAGACTACAGGTGACACGTAAATATTAGGGTTGCATAGATCGATTTTCAACTAATCGATTTATCGACATTCAACTGCAGTTAGTGGAAGACGTAACGTAGACGATAATTGGCTGCTACAAGCGAATGCAGAAAAAAGAGTGAAAAAATATATTTTATATAAAATAAATTATATACACCTTTAATACAGTAAATATAATAAATAAAATTAAAAATACAAAAGAAAATAATAATATTAAAATAAAAATATGTTTTATTTACAAATATATATACTTGGTAAATAGTGTGCAAGTATGGAGGTAACTTTGGGTTGTGACGTCACTCACGTGCATGCTGAATAAAAACTTTTTTTTTTAATATCAGGCGCCCAGAAATAACTAGCAATTGGCCAGACGGAAAAAAATAAAATTTTCTTGGCGCCTGAAAGTTTTTTTGTGAAAATGTAAATATGGTAACACTCTACACGAATGAGCAAAAATCTTGGCACCTGAAAGTATGCTTTAATTTTGGAAATTACGTAGGAAGTTGCCAGATGCAAAAAATAATTTTTTGGGGGCCTGGTTACTTGCTAACAAATTCTGGGCGGCTGGAATTTTTGAAAAATGTGAAGATTTTTATATTTTTGACGTCATGAACATGCCAGCCATATAAGTAAAATACGAGGCCCCTAGTTTTTTAGATCTCGGTATACGAGTTGTTCCAATTTAAAGTAAACAAAATATGATATAAGAAATTGTTTCCAAAAAACGGGAAATCAAAGTTTCTCCTAGGAGATATGCAATTGACGGATGGATTTTTTAAGGGATATTCTGGGTCTAGGAATATTCCTCATATCAGCAATAATCCCTTGTAAACATCGTCGACATCCTGAAAACAGAAAAAAAATGTCTTCCGAGAACATAAAAAATAGTCCTCGATCAGAAGCATTTTCGGAGGGATCGGAGGGATTTCTAGAGGAATATAAATGTGGATTTTTTAAAGAATATTTTTGGAGGGCTCGGAAGTATTTTTGGAGTGGGATAGAAGCGTGGTTTTTTATGGAATATTTTTGTAGGGATCGGAACCCAAGAAGCATGGATTTTTTTAAAGAATATTTTTGTAGGGATCGGAACCCAAAAAGCGTGGATTTTTTAAAGAATATTTTTGTAGGGATCAGAACCCAAAAAGCGTGGATTTTTTAAAGAATATTTTTGTAGAGATCGGAACCTAAAAAGCGTGGATTTTTTAAAGAATATTTTTGTAGGGATCGGAACCCAAGAAGTGTGGATATTTTAAAGAATATTTTTTTAGGGATCGGAACCCAAGAATATTGGATTTTTTAAAGAATATTTTTGAAGGCATCAGAATAAAAATGCCATAAAGAAGCGTGGATTTTTTTTAAATTACATTATTGTAGGGTTCATCCGATTACTGCGAGGAAGCTCTTCTAAAATAGCACTTTTATGCTGAAAATCTTTTTCTACACTAAATGTCACTTTGAATCTCCACTTACCAGGAAACCTCGACATGTAGGTCAGGCAACAACAAATAGCATCGAATATATGAAGGAAAAATAAGCCATCTCCAGCTGATATTTGGTCACAATATTTAAACAACTCCAACTGGTAATTGACAAAAAAAAAGAGGGAGTAAAACAACCTGAACTCCACAGGTACCATATGGCGGAGCAACGAGTAGTCAAATTCGGTTTGATATGGTTGGTATTTATTCTGGCTTCTTTCAGCTTTCCACCGAGCCCCTGGCAATGGAGATATCAATGTTTTGTCAACGTTTTAGCTATGCCCAGTCCCGGCGAAGCGTTACAAATTATTCGTGGTAAATATTTGTCCTGAGACGTACAGACAGACATTCCTAACCGCAAAGGTACTACCAGCTCGTCTGAGTAGGCAGGGATAAAAGGAACAAAATATTGATATCCAAAAGGATGTAAACAAAAGGCTGACGAAGAGCAAAACGAAGAGCATTACAAATTGTGTGACAAACAACCAACCAACCAACCAACCAACCAAAAAGAAATGAATATCATTTTGATATGCCCAGTGAGATCCAACCGAAGAGAAGCACACAAGGAAAACACAAAATGTCCTTGTCGTCGCTGTTGATATCTTCCTGGCGGCGATGGTGGTACAACAATTTGCAACTGCACTCGGCTGGAAATCCACAAAAATTGGTAGCAGTAGCGTCACCACACCACAACGCGCAGCAGCATCGTGGCCAATTTCTTCTTCATTCTTGTCAAGATTGAATGTTCTTCTCTTCGCCCCCTCTCACTCACTCTTCCTAGGCTTGCTAGGAATTGCATTTTTACGCCAAGAGGGTTCCGACCACAAAAAAATCGTAGAACTCTGCAGGTCTTCGAGGTTAAGGTTGGCAGGGAACAGCAGGAGTTTTCATAATATTTTGGTTTATTACTCCTGTTTTCGGCAAGCAGAACAAATTCGTGTCCAAAAATGCAAAGCGCACCGCTCTCGCTCTTTCTGGGCTTCGTTTTGCTAGAGCAACAAAACCCCAGGACGTCCGCAGCTAAATGCCATCTTTAGACAAATTGAGTCGTTACGGTTGGTGTTGCAGTGCTGTGTGTGTTGCAGTTGTTGTTGTTGGTGGTTGGTGGTGGTCGGCACATTTAAGGAGTTTCCTTTCTTGCCTTTTTTGTGCCAAATAAACAACCATCCTGCGTGTCTGTCTGTCCGTCTGTCTCTTGTCTTGTTATAAGTGGTGTGGCATGTATGTACATGTGTGGTTGTTTTTTTTTTCGTTCCATGGCTCAATTCAAAAATCACTAAAGAACTACTTCGAGACGACTCCGCACTGCTGCCATTCTTGTTGTTGCTTTTGTTTTAATTTTTGTTTTTAGTACTTCCTTAGTTGTTTGTTTTCAAATAATGTTTTATTTTGTTGTTGTTGTAGGGGTGTTGTATTTGTTTGTCAACAACAATATGACGACTATCTCTCCATCCAATCCATTGTTGTTATTGTTGTCCTCCCTCGCTATTTTGTTCCATATCCGTCTCGGTTTGATTTGAATTTTAAAAATTTGTTGTCAAATTATCAACTTTTTTTGTTGTTTTTTGGAAGAAAAAAATGCGTCTTGGTGACACATGGGTGGTCAAAATATGGTTTAGTGGCCAAAAAATTGACCTGACCTCTTGGCTTTTTGCTTGTTTTTGTTGGGTTGACACATTAGTATGTGTTAATTTTGTGCAAATGCCTTTTCCAGAGGATTGGGTGTTAATGTTGCGATATTATAGATACTGATGAGAAAAATTATTAGATCCTGGGGAGGGAGAACATTTCGGAAATTTAGGTTATGGATCATAATTTTTAGATTAGGATTTTTTTTTATAGAAAGAGTCTGAGGATTTTCATTTCTATTGGAGGGATAGAATCATGAGTTTTTTAAAGAATATTTTTGAATGGATCGGAACAAAAGAATCGTGGATATTTAAAGAATATTTTTGGAGGGATCTGAACAAAAGAAGCGTGGATTTTTAAAGAAAATTTTTGGAGGGTTCTGATCAAAATAAGCGTGGATTTTTAAAGAATATTTTTGGAGGGATCCCAGCGAAAGAAGCGTGGATTTTTAAAGAATATTTTTGGAGGGATCTGAACAAAAGAAGCGTGGAGTTTTAAAGAATATTTTTGGAGGGATCCGAACAAAAGAATCTTTAATTTGTTAATGAATATTTTTTGAGGGATCTGAACAAAAGAAGCGTGGATTTTCAAAGAATATTTTTGGAAAAATCCAGCGAAGAAGCGTGGATTTTTAAAGATCCGAACAAAAGAAGCGTGGATTTTTAAAGAATATTTTTGGAGGGATCCGAACAAAAGAATCTTTAATTTTTTAATGAATATTTTTTGAGGGATCTGAACAAAAGAAGTGTGGATTTTTAAAGAATATTTTTGGAGGGATCCGAACAAAAGATGCGTGGATTTTTAAAGAATATTTTTGGAGGGATCCGAACAAAAGATGCGTGGATTTTTAAAGAATATTTTTGGAGGGATCCGAACAAAAGATGCGTGGATTTTTAAAGAATATTTTTGGAGGGATCTAAACAAAAGAAGCGTGGAGTTTTAAAGAATATTTTTGGAGGGATCTAAACAAAAGAAGCGTGGATTTTTAAAGAATATTTTTGGAAAAGATTGGAACCAAAAAACCAGTTTTTTTAAGAGTATTTTTGGAGAAGATGGTATTTATGTTGGTATCCAAACAAAATATGCACGATTTTTAAAGATTATTTTTGTTGGCATCGGACCAAATGAAGTGTGGATTTTTAAAGAATATTTTTTGAGAGATCTGAACAAAAGAAGCGTGGATTTTTAAAGAATATTTTTGGAGGGATCCCAGCGAAAGAAGCGTGGATTTTTAAAGAATATTTTTGGAGGCATCCGAACAAAAGAAGCGTGGATTTTTTAAAGAATATTTTTGGAGGGATCCGAACAAAAGAATCTTTAATTTTTTAATGAATATTTTTTGAGGGATCTGAAAAAAGAAGTGTGGATTTTTAAAGAATATTTTTTGAGAGATCTGAACAAAAGAAGCGTGGATTTTTAAAGAATATTTTTGGAGGGATCCCAGCGAAAGAAGCGTGGATTTTTAAAGAATTTTTTGGATGGATGCAATCAAAAGAAGTGTGGATATTTCTATATATTTTTGTAGGAATTGGACTCAAAGAAGCGAGAACTTTTAAAGAATATTTTTGGAGGGATCCGAACAAAAGAATCTTTAATTTTTTAATGAATATTTTTTGAGGGATCTGAACAAAGGAAGCCTAGATTTATATGAATATGTTTGCAATGATGGGATTTTAAAGACTTCTTTTGGTAGAGATTGCAGCAAAAGAAGCGAGGATTTTTTAAAGAATATTTTTGTAGGCATCGGACCAAATGAAGACGTGGATTTGTGAAGATTTTTT